CAGCCGAATGCATTCCAAACAAGCGTGTATGTGCATATATGTATACATATATATATATATATATGTATGCAGCTTATTGGCATATGTACATAAGTGTGTGTATATATATATATACACACACGCATATGTAATATCCGTGCAAGGCCTTCACGTCAACTGGGAAGCAGCCCCTTTTTGCCGCCTGTGAGCAACAAGGGGACTTGGACAAGAACAGTATGTTTTGGCTTTTTGGCTGATGTTCCCTGACTCCTGGTGCAAACATGAATATGAAACTGCAGGAGTCACCGTGTTCCCCACGTGGGTTTGGAATTCCAGCTGCGGGAGAGGGAATATGAGCCCGAAACAACGCTTTTGGGAGAACTGGGCAAGCCCCGCTGGCGATTGTCGGAACTTTGGGTGCCTTCCCAGCGCATCTTCTCCAAACCAACACAAGACTGATGACTCGAAAGTGTTCTGAGAGATCCCTCCAACTAGTTATGATGTTTACTTTGAGGCTTCTCTAACACCTTCCAAGAAGGAAGACGAGTCCCTTTGCCCCCTACCCTTCCGAAACTCATGCAATATGTCCAGGGGCTCTGACAGGTTTGCACCCGGGGAAATCGACGTCCCTTTCACATTGACAGGGGATGCCGTGGTTCTCCACCGGCGAGAACCCCTTCTTCTTTTGTGATCATGGCTCCCTCAAGAGGCACCTTGACAAGCAACAGCCCTACGAGGCTGATGGCTCAAGGGATCGGTCTTGCATGGCCCCCCCCCGAGGCCAGCCTTCGCCTTAGCCTTGGCAGTCGCGTCTGGTGTCCTGCGCACATGAAAACCTCAACAGCTGACAAAGGGAGACCTTGTCCTCATTCACTGACACGAACAAGGTGTGGCTTCCCTCTGTCAAATGTTAACTTCTTCCATTTGCTTAAGCCCTCTAGAAAAATAACAATATGTCCAGTAGTGATAGATTTCATTAAAACCAATAGCGCAAATACAATATATTATTGCTTGGGAGTTTGCTACTCGGTACAAACAGGTTCCTGCTGACAAGAACATGCTCCCTTTTGGAAACGAATGTAACAAGGGTAGAAACTCAAAAAGACACGCCGCACGCCCATGCAAACCATGCCCAAGATGTGGTGTGTGAGTTGGTTGGAGCATCTCAGGAACACTCGCCGAAAGGAGATTCCGCTCCTACAAATGGAATTGTTTTTGGGGGATTCCTTCTATCAATTGGGCAGTATGTGTCCAAGCCACGATTTCCAATGTGGCTTCCTTGCAGAACCGACCCCCCCTTCTAAAAAAAATATGAAAAACATATACAACTGCCCAACTCGTTGTACTGCGTACCCACATGACCCAACAATACACCCTAAAACCACACCTTTGAACCCTCAACAGTATTTGCGTGCTGTTTGGATCTTACCTGGACTTTCATTGCTGAACTATTTCACCACCATCAAAGCCACCCCTGAAGTGATAGATCTAAGAGACATGACGATTCCCAGCTGCTGACACGGACCCAAAACTGGGGGTGGTCCGATTGAATCAGCAGCCAGTTCCTTTCCAGGGTAGTTCAAGTTCTGGACTCAGTGCTGGCTTTTGAACATCGCTAATCCTTTTTCCAACAACTCTGCAAGCTGACAGGAGGCCTTTAGACGATTGTCCTCTTGAAGAGGCCTTCTGTCCACTTGCATTGTTGAAAGAAGGCAAAAGGAGCCCCGTTTGAGTTGGGAGTCGAAGTCCTTTGCAAACCCTGATGAATGGCCGGTTTACGCCACACTTCCATTGCTGGAACATGTCATGACACGAAAACGGCAGAACCACAGGCACTACCGAGTTCGACCTCAGCAAATGGCTCGCGTTTCCCTTTTGACTCAAAGCCAGGCCGACCAACTCAGGTTCCGCTTCCCTTTCGGCGGGTCTCCTGCTGCGACTGGCTGCCTTGGGGGGGGACCCCGGAGGACCCGCCTTCGGGCCCGACCTCGGAAACCCGAATCGAGTCCGAAGGAAGCGGAGGGTGGCTTAGGCAGGGAATCAGTTGGAATCCCTGACAAAAAACAACTTCTGGTGTCCAAGGGAACATCACGTTCATTCCCTCACTCCCTGAGAACCAGCAAGTTTTGATGATGCTGAAAATGACGGAACCGGGGAAGACTTGAAGAGGGGCGCCACCAAACAATATGACCCACAAAAAGGGAGGTTGTCCATGGGTGTCTTGAAAGTTGCATCCTCACCTCCCCAGCCATGTGTGGCTACCGGTTTCCGTTTCAACACCACGATTTTGGGAACCCCCAGCCCCAATTCGAAGGACTTCACCGGGTTGGTTGATCAAAAACACGCCACAAGCCCGGGCTTTCTCCAGACCCCTGAAACTGGCCGTCTTGGCATCCCCCCACATGGGCAAATCATCGCGAGAACTGCAGCTCGCCAAGATTCGTGCACACTTCCGGTCTTTCGACATGAAAATTCGAGCCGAGCACCTCCCTCGCTCATGACTGAAGCCAGGCCAAGCGATTCCCCGAAAACCAACGGAACTTACACCCTTCGTCATAAGATATTGAATTGACAAAAACAAATGGGGCGGGTATGGGGCGGGTGCCTGTCTCCCACTCTGCCGAATTTAAGAAAGCCACCTCTCCCCTCCCATCGCTCCGTTCTCCCAAAGGACGCGACTTGGCTGGCCTCAGGATGTGAAATACACAGAGCCCCCGGCGACACCACTCGTTTGTTCGCATGGCATCATCTTTTTGGACTGTCTTGGAGGGGAATTGACCCCCCGGTTCCTCTTCTCATGAAAAGGCCTCTGCAAACCTCCAAGCCGCCCAGTTAAGAACCGGGCAGTATCTTTTTAGCCTGTCTTGTTTGGCTTGCGGGTTTGGGGCTTTGAACCCCTGGTTCCTCTTGACCTCACGTCCTACTTCCTGAGTCGATTGGCCACAAACAGTCCAAACTGTTTTGATTTACCGCTCAAGCGGTCTTCCCAAAAAGTTTGAAGTCCATGAACTCAGGGAGTGAGTGACCCATGGAAAGGTATCTGCAGACCTCCAAACCACCCAAATAGGAAAAATATGAACCTCCAGTTTCGCATAAAGATAACAAGAAGCAGGTACCCTCGAGGAAATAGGAACTCTGGGGCTGATACTTGCTGGGCACTTTTTGGGCCCACGAACACTTGTTAGTTTACGGTGTCCAGTCTTTTTAACAGGGCTGCAACCGGATTGCCAATCCAAGGACAACATCCAAAAGGGAAACTTGCAAACACAAATCGGCCTTGCCAACTGAGGTTTGACGAGAAGTCCAAGAAGGAAATGTAGAGACCCATCTTCTGTCAGAAGGAGCAAGGGAAGGGTACAGACAGGTGCTCTATGAAACCACCTGTTCTTTTCTTGTCCTTTCTTAGGGGGGGATGTGCGTGTTTCCAAATTGGATGGACATGGAACCCCGCGTCTGTTTCGGGTCGATCCAATCTAGATTCCCTTTAAACTCCCCCCAATGACCAAAGGGGAACCAACCCCAGCAACTCGAACCACACCCATGTCTCCGCATGCGAGTTGGGCTGCCCCACACGGCTGAGCGGGCCTCGTGGCGCCACGTGTAGTCCACACTCACCCCGAAATGGGTGTGTGTGTGTGTGTGCGTCTTTCTTTCTTTGGAGGCTTGGTGCCCAAGTCTGCTTGAGTGAAATTAGAAGGGAAAGCGAAAATGTTCGGTGGTTCCTTTGCTTCAAGTTGGCATCGTTTTTTGAGGAAGACGGGGTTCATGACCAGCACCCACCCCCCGCCGTCGGTGAGCGGATCCGCAGCTTTTGCCCTCACGGAGGACACTGAAACATGGGGATCGCGGGATCCCGCGCGCTCACGATTAGCTCGCCGTTGATTGCGGCGTGAGATGAGCGCAACGGCCGCAAACTGCATCCAGCCATACCCTACCGGCTGCACTGCACAGAAGCTCCCTCTGAACACTTCTTGCCCGATATGAGGCCTTTCCGCGTTGGAAAACGCTGTCTTTTTGCCCAGAAAGCGGATATGTCCGAAGCGTTGGATGCATCTCTGTGCAGCAGGGGTGAAAATTGCCAGCAGCAAAGAGACAATCTCTGCTGTCGGTCCACTGAATGGACAGGCGAAAACTGGTTAAAACCGATCTCCTGGACTCACAACACCCTCATTCAAACCCATTCGCTTCAGAACGTGCTCCCCTTGTCAGGGCTGCATATCTGGAGATCATGAGACCAGTGCCCAAAATGCACTCGATGTTTGGACCCGAAATTATGTGCTTTTGGCGAGTTGTTTTTTCCATTAAAACCTTCCCGAAAAGGGGGCGGGGTGATCCGTCTCCCAAGGGAACCCAAACAATGCGAGTCGCACCGGGCGCTGATCATTCTACTGTGCAAACACCTGACGCCAGTCGAAGATGGCTTCCACTACCCGCGAACCAGGGCAAATGACTTGCATCCCTTCAAGTGACGGCGACAAATAGAATATAGGTTCTGCTTTTGACCATCTTAGAGCTGGAGTCTGGAGCAACCCGACCCCCCTGGGGGAAATTCAAAGAATTGCAGGGGAGACCCTCCAAGAGTCATATCCCCACCCACAAAGGGCGGCAGCGGATAATACGAGGTGAATTGGGTCCCCGTGCTCAAGTGGCCGCATTCTGCACCAATCTCAACATGTCTCGGCTCCAAGAATATCGCGGCCGCCCTTGTCTTGCGAGCTTGGCAGAGCCAGCAACCAGTGGGCTCAGCCACCACTAACACACTAACTTTCGCTAAAACACGTGGCACGCCCAGCCGCCCAGCCCATGGTCGACAGCCACGCCCTTCAAATGTGGCACCCGGCAGTGTGCGAAGCACAATCCTTGCGCAGTGACCGGGCATGAATTCTGAAAGGAACAGTCGGACTCTCCTCCGGCGCTCTTCCGTACACATAACAATCCAAAATTGTAGAAACTGCCCAACACGTGAGGGCTTTTCGGTTTCTGTTCGTCTTCCTTCTAAACAACCATTGGGGCAGCGTTTACACACCAAAACCAAAAACACATCAGCGACGACACACGTGTTTCGGTCAGCTGGCGGGAAAACTCCGTTCAACTCGGAGAACTGCAGTGGCAGAGGGGATGCCCTTCGGCGGCGCCGAGTCGCTCGGCGCCTCACTGGGGAGCAAAGCTCACGCCGGGCCTCGCGAGGCGCGCGAACGCGCAATCTGAGGGATCTGCATGTTGAAACATTGCTCCATAGAGCATTGCACACATGGCTATCCCTTTCACCTTCAAAGGGTCAAAAAGAAGTCCATGAAATGGGAGGGGCTCCTGAGTTGATACCCTTGGGGTGCAAACGAAAAGCCCTCCAAACCCCCTCCAACAAAAAGAAAGAAAACCAAAAAACTGTTGATACCCTTGGAGTGCCAAAAAAAACAAACAAGAAGAAACAAATGAAAAAACACTCCCAAAGTATCAAAAGAAGCTGCTGGCGCGATCGGGCCTCGCCGCTTGCACCGCGGGCTGGGCGCCTGGAGCCCAGAAATAACTCAGCAGCCTGCGGTCCGATCGATCCGCCCACTGGGAACGGTCACTGGGTCGGGAGGCTTGGGTGGGGTGAAGCCGGGCTGGGTATGGGTTGGGTGAGGCGAATCTGAGATGGTGCGGGCTCAGAGTCTCTTTGTCTTTGAATGAAACTGATAGACTCCGGAGAAAAATCCCCAGGTTTTGACCAGCTTCACTGACTTCAAAAGACCCCAGTAAGCCGCATGTATCCTTGAGACCAGGTTCTGATCACTAGGCCTTCCAACTTGTGAGATCCCAAACGTTTTTTTTTTCCCTGGCGGTGTTTCTTGGCGAAGTTGTGTTTTTTGGCGCAACAAAAGGGCAGCCAAATAGGGTTGCCAGGAAAATCCTTTTTGCTAGAGGACACTACTCTTCGAAACCGGCCCGTGTTTTCGTAGGCAGCCCTCCCCACTTTTTTTTTTTTTGGAGGGGGGGGGGGGGGGGGCGATGCCCAAAACGAAAGCGATGCTGATGGCCCGTTTTGAGCACGTCCCAAGTCCGTAAATCCCATCCAGGCCCGTCTCACGAAGGGCCGCGTCTGGCTTGTTGGCGGATTTTCTGATAGGGCTTCAAACATGTCCGGGGGGTTGACCATGGGTTGCGCCACCTGGTTGTGCCTTGTTGAAATCATGGTTCAGAAAGGATCAGAATCTGGTTCTTATTACGTTGCCCCAACATTAACAGGTGCTTATGTGGACTCGGTGGCAAAACCAGGCTGTCAAAGGCTTGGGAGATGGCGTGATTGTTCAGACTTATCAATTCGATGATCCCCATCAATCAAAATAGTGTCCATACATAGTTCGATTCGCGTGAGCTGGCAATTCTCAAAGAGTCCCCTGTGGACCCTTGAGTCTCTGGACATACATACCTTTGGGGAAACTCCTCTTAAAGGCAAGCCCGAGGCAAACCACCCATATGTTCACTTGTTGTTTTTTGGGAGGGGGGGGCTTGCATTTGACAGAGACACCCATTTTGTCTTCAACTTGCGGATCTCCTCCCCTCGGCTTCCAGACCAACACGTCGCCCGGAACACGCTCACAGAAACGAATGCGAACCCCGAAAGGACTAAACTAGACGAAACCACCGAAAAATGCGGTGCGCCCAGTGGCGTTCTTTCGGCTTCGCCTCAAAAGCCCAACCCCAAAGAGGCTCGGTCGCTTCACCCTCCCCTCAAAATCTTCGATCCAAAATGTCTCCGAACTTGAAGACGTATTCCCTTGTCATGGCGACCCAACCCAACTAGGAACCCTCCGGCCCGTTCTTCCCCGTTTTTTTGTTCTTCTCCGAGGCGCAACAGCAGCGCCCAAATCATGACCCATGGCCAGCGGAAATTCCCGGAGCAACCGTCCTAAGCGAGGACGGATCAGGGGGTCCAATGGTTCCAATGCGAATTACTGGTTTGAACGGCTCGAATATTGGGCCAAATACCCTCCGACCAATTAACATGGAACCTGACAAAGGGTCCCCCCCCAACCAGGTTCCGTGTTGATTGGTGGGAGGGTACTGGTTTCAAGGGTTTCAGTGGAGAAACGCGGATGCGTATAGGTTCGAAAACTGCCCATGTCTGACGCATCTCGTGAGCGAAATGGCCCGCAAAAATGGTGGCCCATGTTTGGAACCGCAATCTGGGCCATTTCCCATTTAGTTTCAACCCTGGCGGCCTCCGGGAAAAAAAATGAATCTTCGGCGGGCGTGTCGCAATCTGGCCTCTTTGGGGGATATTGAAATGAATATGGCTTCCGATGATGAGCTCCTCACTGCGTCAAATAAGCGGTCTTTGTGCAGGGTCGAATGCGCTCCACTATCGGATCATCGTTTCTAGTTTTTTCCCTCAACCCGGATGAAGAAGTTTTGCTGAGGTTTCGTACTGCGACGCGCAAGGAGCAACCCGTTGTGCTTCGACCAAAGGACGCTCAGTAGTGCATGCGTAAAGGGCTCAAGTTGCAGGGACTTACAATCCTTTGGGCTCTACCTGACTATCAGACAGCCGAGTGGGCACGCGACCTGCACTGCTCCGCAGAGGGTTCGCTCTCTTCCAGTACCCCCTTTGGCTCAAAGCAGCTTTACTCAAACTTTTTGCTAAGTTGAATGGCTAGGAACTTGATTGAGTAGGACGTTTGTAGTCAGAACGTAGGGTGGGGACGGGCGGTCTGCGCAGTATTGGTGCAGACCCAAATTCGGGTTACCACCTTGGGCGCTGCGCGGACCCAAGCTCGGGTTGCCTCTCCACAACAGTCTTGCAAGTACCTGGCCCCTGTGCACTTGAATGAACTGCATCGAATCCCAAGTCGGGTCTCCACCCTTGACCGCAGGTTTTGCCACGTGCACACGTTGCCGCACCTGCGACCCGTGCTCTTGTGCTCTTGAGTCTTGAGAGTTATTGTTTGTGGCTTGGGAGTGGTGCGTACCCGAATTGTGGTCTCCGGTTCAAATCCAATCCAGCTGCCACCGAAATAAGGCATACCTGACGGTGGGAGAAAGAGTGAAGCAGTGGGTGCGTCCGAAATTGAGCCAACATAACTTTTCCTTGGATGGTTTTGGATTTGGGCCAATCTGCCCCTTGCCGCGGCGCGCTCGTGGCTTCGCCAACGACGTCCTCCGAGGCCTCTTCCTGGCGCAAGGGAAAACGAGGCCGAAGCTGGGAGGCGAGGGACTGGCCCCATGATGAAGACCACGAAAGTCGCATAGGTAGGTTAGTTGGAAACCACGATAAAGGAAACAAATCGAATAGTTGGAACCCGCCGTTGCTGTGAACCCAATTGGGCTTGCCACTGGAGATTCATTCGGAAGTGTGATAACCAGGGTTGCTTGGACTTGAACAGTCACAACAATTCACAGAATTAGGCTTCCCTCGGCAAAGAAGGTTCATGGATGGTTTGGTCGCAACCCGAGTCCATCTCATGAGGTCGATCATGCTTCTGTTTGCCGAATCCATGTGGTTGCATCTTTCAGGGGAATCCGAAGCGTGTGAAGACTTCCCGCAACTCAAGGCTTCAAGACCCCAAAATCGCCTCCTTTCGGCGTCCCTTTAACCTAAAAGGGACGCCAAGCCCCCCAAAAAAGGCAACACCACATGTGTCTTCCTACTGTGGGAGTTGCTAACCTTTTTTTGATAGTTGTAAGGAAGACACCAAACACCATTTCACTCCGAACACATCCTATCCATGTATAGGTGCAACCACCCTTTTCGTTTATTGCATGGTTCTGGGTACCCCTTTTGCCAGGTTTTGATTGCGACTCATTTAGGGCCTCGTGGAACCGTTTCTTGCATCCCCGGAATGCTCGTGGAACCCTGCAGAACCTTACCTCAGAGCCGTCGCGGAACCCTCGCGGAACCTGCTTCGGAGACCCCCCCTGCATCCCTGGAACCTCCTCGCCCGTGAACCTTATACCTGGCCTCACCAGAACACCCCGCAACCTCCGGAACCTTGCTCGCACCTGACCCCAGTGCTCCCCCGGCAAAAAAGAACGGAAGGACAGCCGCATGAACCACATAAACATGTCTGCACGTTCGCAGGGCAAAGCACGCCTCCAGCGCTGCCTCACCAGCTCGGAGAGGCGACTTTTCAGGAAGCCTCGGGTCGGGCACGTGGGTGGTTCTCAAAATGAGAATTTGCACTCCCAAAGATGGGAATTATTTCCTGTTGGTTTCCCTTGAACGTGGTGAAGGGGGGCTGAGAAACCTACCTGTAGTTCTTGAATCGCATTACTCCCACCATCCCAAAAAGCTGATGCAATCGTTTGGCTGGGAAAGGCAACCATTTTCCGCGCAGCGGCGATGAACCCACCCTCCCCCTCCGCACCCTGTTTTTGAGGGATTAGCTGGCATTTGTCCTGAGGCAAGATTACAGTAGCTTTGTTTCTGCTCCCATTTGCATATGGTGATGTGTGTCGCCCATTTTGGTCTTGAAGGGAAAGGGTCACTGGTTAAACATGGCAGGGCTTCGGATTCCCGGTGGGGACCGTGAGCCTCAGCCTTTCCTCCTTGCAGGGTTTGAGCATTGTTTGAACATCGTCTTGATCCCTCCTCTGAAAACTTTGTTTGAAGAGAGGCCCCCTATGTCTCCCCCAAGATGCCTTACACCTCACCCTGGACAGGCAAAACTGAAGTGGCTATGCGCACAGAACCCAACAAGAAGCCAACCGGTTTCGGTGCCATCTCTCAATGGTCACCATGGATTCCAGACTAGGGCAAGTGAACCTGACAAAGCCTTGAACTGCGAGAGAAATGTAAGTTTATACGGCATGTGCAGCTTCTTTCCAGAATACGTGTGTTTTGAGTTTCGTACGTGTCTAACGTATGTCTAGCATATCCCAAGATATCGCAGGCGATTCCTAGAGTGATATCATGTGGTTAGCTTGGTGCCCTTCCAACAGGGTTCCGTATCCAACCGAGAAACGTCAAGACGTCAGGTTGCATGCAGGGTGACGGTGGTTGGGCCAACCTTCGAATAGGTGCCCGCTCGGCACATGCAACTCAAACACCCCTGCCAAGATGCGGTAGATTGCAACTACCGTCAAAAAAGACACAAACAAACGCCAAAAAAAAATTAACAGCCACACCCCATGGTTTACTCCCCTGAGGCTCCCTTGGTTGAAACCCACAGCTCGCACGGAGAAACAAAGTCCGTCTGCGTTTGGCAGGCCGGGGCGCGGGAGCGCGGCCTAAGCACACGTGACCGGTGAAACCCAGGGACGCGGCCGAACTCCCCCAGCCAAAAACAAAACACCCAGGCCTTGGCGCATTCCCCCCCGCCCGAAGAAACACAACAAACAGGCCTTGAGGCGCAAGGCTTGCGTGGCGTCTTTGGGGATGGGGGTGGTGGGGGTCCTTGAGTATAGAAAGGAGCCAATGGTTGAGAGCCCCAAAATTCACATTCCCAACTTCTGGTCTCAAAATTTGCCAATGATACCAAGATCCGTTTTCGCAACCCAAACGGGCTCTTCTCAAAATGGTGGACCTCCTTTCGGTTGGCATTCAAGGGGAAACCAAAAGGCAACCAACCCTTCTGGGGGGCCCGATATTGAACAACCCCCAAAAGGATTCGTTGTCGAAGGACAAGCCCAGGCCGGCTTTGAGAAGCCACGAGATACCAACCCTCTGGCCATCTCCCTTAACCACAAGGTTTGACAAACACGCTTGGGTGTCTCTTTTTTCGGGAGACCCCTCCCCAAAATGATTGGTTGGCTTCCCGCTAAACCTACCAAAAACGGGTACCCTGAGCGAGCGAAGGCATCCCCACTTCAGCAAATGAGGAAGAAGAAGAAAAAAAACGAGCTCCAGCATTGCAGCATCAACCATTGTCTCTCGACAAACACCGGTGCCAAAGCCTCCCGGGTTGAAATCAGGGAAGAAGACAAAACAGAAAACAACAACTCGCCCAAACCAAACATCCAGCGGATGCCCAAATTTGCGACCTGGTATCCAACAAAGTCGCAAACAACGGGCAAACTTGCTTACCCGAACTTGATGGTTTGCGTCGGTGGTTCGGCTGGGGGGGGGAAGGTGATTTGCCCTTTGGCTTCCAGAATTTCGGGTGCCCAAACCACGAGCCAAACTCACCCGAGGGCAATGGGAGCCCCATTGTGGACCAAGTGGAGCAGGGTACATCCGAAATGCATCCAATGTCTGATCTTTTTGCACCAGGTGGTGCGTCTTTTTTGGGAGAACCTTCAAAACTGTGGTTCTCCTTCTCTTCCTGCTTCGATAGGCAGGGAATGAGAAATGGAAGGACCCCTATAAACAATCCAACGTGTGGTTTTCCTCTAAGGGAATCCCCAAAACCGGTTCATTCCCAACACCCGGACTCGGTCATTCCCTGGGCACCAGCAAGTTGCACGGAGGCCATGTCCCATTTCAAGTTGTGTCCCCCAAATGGAAGGGCCATGGGGCCGTGCCAAATCCATGTGCGCCTTGTTTGGAACCCCCAAGCTGGGAAGGCGCTTGCCAGCTTCCGGGCCCGAAGATCAGACGAAACCCGAGGGCACCGACTCAAACAAGACGCCCCGGTCCCGCCTGCGCGGCAGCAAAGGAAACCCGGCGCTGCCTGGAGCTTCGGAGCTGCGGAGCTGCGGAGCGGCGACTTTGGGGGATGCCCAAATGATACAAATACAACAAGATATATATATATATATATACATACATACGTGTGATAACATATATCTATATGTATGTATGTACGCATGCATGCATGCGTGTAATGAAGAAATAGCTAAATCAAGAAATATATCCAATCCAATCCAATCCAATCCAATCAATCAATGAGTCAATCAGTCGAATCAAAACATATATGTTCAAACCAAATCAAAACAAGTCAACAAGAAACAAACCAAATCAAACAAGTCTAATGAGATCAAATCAATCAAATCAAATCAAATCCAATCCTATCTTATCCTGCTCTATCAATCAATATAACAATGAAATCAATAAACGCATGAAGGAATAGACAAATATGCATTCCTATTCCCCATAAGTGTTATCCCATGTGCCCATATTTTCTCAATATGTTTCACCTAGATTTGCCCAGAGGATGTCCATGATTCTAAATGTATTCTGCAGCCTGCTCTGCCGAGTCATCACCAGCTCAAGTTCTGTCGATGGCGGATCCATCTTCGATTAAGGGTCTGTTGAAACCGCACGGAAGATAAACGCTATGTCTTTTATGAGAAAGCCTTTTCAGGGTTGGTTTGGGGGGATAGCAAAGGACAATGCCCGTGTTTGTTGTGGGGGTCCCTATGTTTCGGTTGGCGTCCCTCGGCGGCGTGAGAATCGAGAAGCCTGAACCCATGGGAATCCGTGCTGGGCCAAAAACCAACACGGATTTCCACTTTGAGGTGGCACCAAAAACTTGGTGTGAACCGTTCTATGGCTTCATTGGCTCATAAGTTCAAGCTTCTACTCACGGTCCATGCCTGGCGTCCGGTTCCAGCCACGCGAGAACTGCCTCGCACGCTGTCGGCTCATTTCGCTGAACCGACCAGCTCCATTTTGGCATTTGCGCCTTCCTTTTGGCTTCAGCTTCTCCCCTGCCATTGTTTCCCTTTCATGTGAGCAGACAGTGCGGCCACGCTTCGTGTGCGTAGTCTGTGAACATTTGGGATGTTGGACTGTTGGACCCAACACAACCAATTGTACGTTCATCTGTGAGTATGGTGCAAATCATGGAGAATAGTGCCACACCGCTATGATTACTGGTGTTTGCAGCCCTTCAACCCACCTTGGTTGGTTGATCATCGGATGTAGGTTGCGGTTCCATCCCTTCCATCCTTTTCCTTCTTCCCAATGAAGAGCCATCTAGTTCCATTGCTTGGCCCTCACATGCATCCGCTTGACTTGTGAATTCACCCGCCACCCCCGCCCCCGCATGCTAAGAAAGAAGTCAGCTTACTTGCCATTTGTTTTTGCTGCACAACAACCCCAAATAGCCACCCCAACAGCAAGTGCTCGAGTGCATGGGCCAAGGCTTTGGCACGAAAACACATATATAAAGACGCATTCCATGCATGTACACACATGCAAACGCACACAAACATAAACATGCAAACAAACAAACAAAAAACAAACAAACAAACAAACAAACAAACAAACAAACAAGCAAGCAGACAAACAAACAAACGAACAACCAAACAAACAATCAAAACAAGCAAACAAACAAAACAAACAAACAAACAAACAAACAAACAAACAAACACACCAGACTACAAACCAAACCAACCCAAACCAAGCAAAGCGCAACAAAAAACACACAGCCTGCCAGCCAGCCAGCCAACCAGCCTGCCAGAAAACCGACAGACAAGCAGAGGGACAGACAGAAAAATAGACAGATCGGAGAGACGGACGGACAGACCGGACAGACCGGACAGACGGACAAACGGACAAACGGACAGACAAACAGGCAAGCAGGCAGGCAGGAAGGCAGGCAGGAAGGCAGGCAGGCAAACGAGCGAGCAAAGCAAAGCAAAGGCAAAGCAAAAGCAAAGCAAAGGCAAAGCAAAGGCAAAGCAAAGGCAAAGCAAAGGCAAAGCAAAGGCAAAGCAAAGGCAAAGCAAAGGCAAAGCAAAGGCAAAGCAAAGGCAAAGCAAAGGCAAAGCAAAGGCAAAGCAAAGAAAGCACGCAAGCAAACAAGCGCACACACAAACAGAACAAAACATAACACAAAAGTCAACGCACCAAGAAAATGGTGCCGTCGCTGAAGTCGAAGCTGTTGGCAATGATTTCTGTATTCGGTTTCAAGCATCTGCCACACACCGCAACGTCTGCCCAGGTCTATGGGCACCATTTCGGTATCTTGCGCTCATCGGCCACTGTGCAGCGGGGTGCTTTGAAACCAACTTGTCTGGATAGGGCAACATGTGACCCCTTTCATGGCTCCCTCACAAAAACGACCCGCTTGAAAACCATTTTTACCTCCTCCTATTCCAACCAGAAGCATGCCAAATGTTGGCATTCTTGTCCCCCTTCAAGAGCTGGTCAGTTTCCATTGAAACGATTGCCACTCTTGGAGAATCTGCGGGACATGGACGAAAAACCCCCGTTTCTGGCCAAGGAAAGTGGTTGAAACCTGCCTCGAAGGTGCTCTCGGCACTCGCGGGGTCGAAGAAGTGCTCGGCCGGTCGACCTCAACCAATACTGTCAAGTAACCCCAACCAAAAAGAGCCCAGCGGAAAATGGGGAAAGAAACTGCGTTTCCATGTTCCCAGAAACTGCGTGAAAATGGTTGGTTTGAAGTGCCGGGAACAGGCACAAAAACATCCACGACATCGGATGCGGAACAAGCTGCTCCAAATCCAGGATTGGCTGAGACCCCATAGCTGCCGCTGTTGGGCCAACCCCCACCTACCCCTAAAACAAGAGAACAACTCATATACACTGCATATATATATATATATGTATATATATATATATGTGCATACACACACGGACATATTGCTTCAAAGACGCCCAGGCACTCTCCCCGCTCAGAACCTAAACGATGTAAATGACACAGTTTTGGACATCTCAATGGACCCCATACCCCCTAAAAGGGAAACCTGACACCCTTTCCCGAGGCGTGTTGCGCCCTCTCAATCAGTTGACCTTTTTGTGGACTGTTGCAACACAGATTCCTACACGAATCGCGAAGCTTAGTTGCGGCTTCCGGACACCATATAAATATGGCTAAGCTTTTCGTTGGGGTGTGTAACGCGCGACTTGGCGCACTTCTTGCTACGGAGGCCTGTAACGGGGCCCTTGTTACGCAGGTCTGTAACAGGAACACGGGGGAGCCCTTGTTACATAATCTCGATGGCGGAGCAGACAAACTACGGCAAGAAAGCAAGCAGCTATGCATTTTCTGTCACGCGTCAGATGTGGTTGAGCTGCTACTGGAGCTTTGCCCGCTGCCAAACACAATACGTTGCCGGGCGTCTTTGGCCCTTTTCTTTGCGTACCCCTTTTCTGCTTGCCTTATTTTTTCAAGAGCAGGTAATCGACGGCTGATTTCAGAACCTTTGGCTTGCGTCTGGGCATTCAGGCGCCGTCTCAAAAGTTCTTCCGGCAAGACATCCTTCTCAGGCTCAGCCTGCCTGTGCGAAACCCGCCACTCCCTTTCTTCATGAGTCTTTGTGATTAAGATTGTGGGTCCATAGCACGACCGTTGGCTGGAACGGAAAGCCTGTCAGAATAGGAGTAGTCTCGCAAGGTGACGGGGTATTTGGACATTTGCGTTTTGGACAATTTGCCAGCAGTAAGTGTACTCGATTCTCAAGTCAGCGCCGGTAATATCCAAGTACGGGAACTCCTTCGGCTTTGCCGGGTGACAGTGCACAAGCCGATACTCTGGGCCTGTGGGAGGGGGGTCCTTGGACGTGGTTAGCGCAGCTTGCTGCGGAAGGGCGTCAGCCAAGTCCTTCAAGGAACTGATGGTGCTTTCCTGCATGCGCGCGTTGATCCAAGCCCTTTGCAAACCGAACTGGCCATCGTTGCGGCCCTTGCCGTGGTGCTCGGCAAAGTAATGGAAGTAAGTCTGCTGCAGCTCAGCGTATGTCTTGAGCAAGAACACACCAGTGGCCACAAACGCGCAGGCTCGGTAGCGCGGGACGCAATCGCACCAAATGCGCAAGGTCTTGCACTTGAAAGCCTTGCAGATCCCACTTAGCACATCCTTCAATTTGAAATGTCTCGCTGGCGTGCAACGCAGTGTGGTCTAAGATTTGGGACAGGTAATGGAAGTAGGTCCGCCTCAGCACGCCATTCTCCTTGTAGAGCGCGTAGATGCCAAGAGTGGAGATGGATAAGCGGCTCGTGGCCCAGAACCAAGTTTGTTCTTCCGTAGGACCTGCAGGCAGCGTAAGGTTCTCAGCGCAGTCTAGCTGCAAAACGAATGCACCCTTGCTTTGAGCGGTTGGTTTCCCTATGCCTCAAAAACAACCAAGGGTAACCACCCCTTGTCTTTCCACTTGTCGTTCCCTTAGCTTCTTCTGATTGGCAAGCGCAACCCTCCAAATAGCATACACGTGGGAAAACCATCAGGGGTGCCTGAAACAGTACTCAATTCATGGCTGCAAAGGCTCCCGACCTGATATATCATGCAGAACGCCACATGCAAATCAAATAGCCACAAGCTGCATTACAACAGATACATGGGGGTGTGTAACAAAGGTATGTACCGAGGGGTCTGTAACGAACCGGCGCGTTTTGCTACGGAGGTCTGTATCGAGGTCTCTAACGAATGTCCGCCGCGGCTCTGTTACAGACCCTCAAAAATATCACAGCCATACGGATATACACCCCTCTACCCACGATTTTTTATCGATTTCTTACCCCGCATTGACACCAATCTACCTCTTGTTGCCCATTCTTCCCCCCAACCTGCCCCTGATTTAGCCCTTACTTCCTCGTTATTCCAGGTTCACCCAGAAGGACCGTACCGGCAGGCGCCAAACAAACCTCACGCCGAGGCGCGTCTCCGCGTCTCCACGACCGAGGTCCTGCGACGGTCTGCCAAGTTCGCTTCTTGAAAGGGCCTCTTTTTAATTTGCTTCAGGGTACATGTGAGTCTGTGTGTGTTTTTCAGGGGACCGCCAACATGGCGGTGTCCTTTTGGTTTCCCTTCACCAACCAAAAAGAGTGCCCTCAAAAGAAGACACGCCCACGTATAATATAGATGATCTTTATTTAAAGTCGAAGTTTAGCAAGAACTTCCGTAGCTAGCTCTCTCCAAGACTGCATGCACCCATACGTGATCTCTACCAACTCATGCCACGCTAGGGGAGAGCCAGCAAATGCGAGAGCTGGGGAAGAGAAGCGGGCCGAAGACGTGGCCCTGTGCGTGAGTTCGACTCTTCCATATTCATGCAAGCTACCTTGGTCGCGCGGCCTGACGGAGGCGGGTTCGGAAGGGTCGGACCATTGGCACAGACGCGCGCGCGCGCGCCTGCGCGCGCTTTCGTTTCGCGACATCAGTTTGCGTGGCAGGCACAGCACTTTCGCAAGGTCAGGTACAAAATTGCGTGGTAGGCGTTGCAGTTTCGGAAGGTTTGCGGCCCGTGGGACTTGTGCGAGCTTCGCTTCTTCCGGCTGCCCTTTTACTGGCCAATCCTCTTTGCCATGTCGGCATCCCGGACATCCAACAGCCAGGGTGGCTCAAACTAAGGTGCGCCCTCCTTCCAAAATCCCTTAGTCTCCTTTCACCTTGCTAAGACTCTGGGCTGAAACAGCCAGAGGGGCAAAGACTGGAGGAAGAAACCACTGGGTGGTCGCGCCTTTGCGCCTCTGGAGCGAGGTCGAGCCTGGCAAAAGGGCAAACGCAAAAGACGACTGCAACGAAGGCCGGCCCCCCCAACCGCCGACCGCCGACCGCCGACCGCCGACCGCCGACCGCCGACCGCCGACCGCCGACCGCCGACCGCCGACCGCCGACCGCCCATTTGTCAAGATTGCTAAAACGCTCTCGCAATCAATAACCTCCTTGCACCTGAGGGCGTGATTGTTCCAAGTATTTCTCCCCCTGACTGGCTGCACATTTGGGGGGACCGAAAGGTCCTTTATATGGGATGACCATTAATTGCAGACAACGATTCAAAAGAAGATATTTCGCACCAATTGGGGGGCAAAAGGGTGTATTGATCAACCCCAATTGTCTCAGCAACACATGACCCAGGGCTTGGGAAAGGAACCGGATTCCCTGTGAAACCAAATCGTGGGGATGGTGTTTCTTGGGGTCATTCGGCTGTGGGTCAAAACCCCATGCCCCCAGTGAACATCCCAATCCCCACTAAAATAGGTTCTAGAATGGGTGGTGCACCGAAAACCCCAAAATGGGATCCCAAAACAGTTTTGACAACCACAGCCAATCCATTTCTCCTTCCATCGAACCAAGCCACGCGAATCCCCGCCTCCTAGCCACGGGCAGCGCCGCCTCCGCGCCAATTCCGCCGCCCGAGCTGCGCGGCCGGGCTTGGAGGAGCACGCGCCGGGAGTAGATGCGCTTGGGGCGCGGTTTCGCCGCAGGCCGGCCTGGGATGGAGCTGTAAGCACATGGCGGCCAGCTGAAAAAGACATGCAGGCATTCAGATTTTGGATCACATGGAATTGCTGCCCCCTACTATCAGAAATCCCCTCCCCTCCCCCCTCCTATTATGGAATATGGTTTTTCGAAACATATTTGTTAAGGTCAGGGAGGTTGCACTACGGTCCTCGTCCAAATGTCCCTCTTTGCCGGACACAAAAGCCGTCAAAATCGAAATCTGCCGTGGAATGTGTGAAAATGTTCAAGGCATTCTTGGTTTTGCCAAATCAAGACAAACAAGCGGAGATAAAATTACAATTTAGCTCCGCACAATTTGAGTTTACGATTAAACAAAGGGAAGTGCTGAAAGTACCCCCCCCCCCCGGGGCGTCAAGAGTCTAGCATAGGTTTAGCCTTGTGTTGATCAAAAGTGAAGGGAGAGAGGTCTTGTTGGATTTGGGCCTGCAAAAAGATATATATATATATATGGTCCCGTGTTCCGTGTTGCTACCCCCCCCCCCCCCCCCATATGGTATGGTCCCCCAGGACCCCCCCCCGGCCCGAGACCCCGAGCCCCCGGATCCTGGCACCTACGGTCCCACCCCCACCCCGACCCCCTGAACTCGCACCCCGACACCCCGGCACCCCCACCCCCAGGACAAGCCAACCCGCAACCAACCATAAACCAACCCTAAACTAACCCTAAACCAACCCTAAATACACCCTAAACCAAACCCTAAACCGTAGACCTCTAAACCTAAACCAACCCTAAATCAACTAAACTAACCCTAAACCAACCCTAAACTAACCCCAAATACACCCTAAACCAATCCCTAAACAATAAACCCTAAACCTAAACCAACCCTAAACTAACCCTAAACCAACCCTAAATACACCCTAAACCAAACCCTAAACCGACCGTACACCTCTGAACCTAAACCAACCCTAAATCAACATAAATCAACCTCAAACTAACCCTAAATACACCCTAAATATACCCTAAACCAATTCTAAACCAACCCTAAACCACCACAACCCAACCACAGGACCACAACCACGGGGGGGGGGGGGGGTACTTGCCTGACCCATGACCATTGGGGGGGGAGGGGGGGGGGGCTGGCAACGCTGTACCATATATATATATATATATATTATATATATATATATATGAACAAGGGTGGGACCAGTCCCGGGACCGGTCCCAGGACCGGCTTTGGCTGACTGCAAGTAATCTGAAACAGCAGAACCAGGGTTCCAGGACCAGTCCCAGGACCGGTCCCAGGACTGGTCCCAGGACTGGTCCCAGGACCGGTCCCGGGACCGGTTTGGGAGGACCGGTACTGAAACTGGTCCCAGGAGCAGTCCTTGGGACCGGTCCCAGGACCGGTCCTGGGACCGGCCCTGGGACCAGTCTGACCGCTGGAACTTCAAATTGCTGTGGTGCGACCTTTCCGGACTGGCACCCAGGACACTGGACAGGGTCCCAGGTCGTCACTGATTGCGACCAGTTGAGGGGGACCAACAGCCTTGTTTCTAGGACCAGCTCAACGTGACTTCGGCACAAACCGGCCCGTGCGGATATTGACGGACGAGCTGTCATCTGTCTGACTTTTCCGTTAATCCTTGTGGTAGAAGAGGATCCCTGGATCTATTCTGCAAGAGAGTCCAATACGTCGAGTCGAACCGCGCCAGACTGGGACCAGCCTGGATAGGGTCCCAAGTCCCGGTCCCTGCCGGCGACCGGTCCAGGGCAACTTCGGGAGGGCCAGCTTCAGGGCGACCCCGGGAGAGGCGCCAACTCGAAGTGACTTGGGCGCAAGCCGGCCCAAGCGGTAATTAACGGACTAGCTGCCCTATTTCTGACTTTTCCGTTAATCCCTGTTTGTGGTCGTAGAGGATCTTCTAAGTGGTCCCCGGGTTTGCGGACGTGTTTCAGGACCGGTCCTTGTGACTTTTCCCTTAATGCGCCGAGGGTCGGCGGCAGCAGGCGGGAGCCTGGTTAATAAATAGGGAGAAGGGATTAGTCACGCTGACAGAAGTGCTGGGGATGCTGGAACTGCTGGGGATGCATGAATTCCTACTATACTAGAAAATGCAGGGATGCGGACAATGCTGGAGATGCTGAGGATCCCGAGCAAGACATACCAGCTGATGTCTGGGAATACTCGAATGCAGTCAATGCTGGGGATGCTGAGCAGGCTGTGGGTTGTGGAAGCCCTAGCACGCAGTCCAGAAGTGCGGATGCTGGGAATCGTGGTTCTGAGGGGGACATCATTGCGACGCCTAGCAGTTACTCGATGGATGCTGGAGATGGATACAATGTGTTGGAAGGCTTGGAGTGTGGTAGGCGTGGTCAGCTGATCAGGATGCTGGTGATTGAGATGCTCGGAATGCTGGGAGCGCATGCTGGCAACTCTGGATATCATGCTCGGAATGCCGGGAATGCTAGCGATGATGGCGATGCTGGTTCAGCCTCGCCGTACTTCGCACCTACTTATAGTTGCAGCAGCAATCCAGTGCTGCGCCACACCTATCAGTCTTTGGAATGTGTTGAACATTTCGATTGAACAACATATTCAACAGCTGCATGCCAAGCATCAACTCGAACCCATTGCAAACAAGCCTCTGAGGATCTGTTCATCCTCATCATCAGTAGCATCTGCCCAGCACCTCACTCTAAGCTCTCAATGCGGCCTTCCACGTTGTGGAGCACCCCCCCCCAAATCCAAATGTAGTTGGACTTCAACCCAGGGCTCAAGTTCCGCTCCAAAAAATCAGCATGGCTTCAGCTCTATGGGACATTCCGAGAGTGTACTCACCGGAACCACCCAGATGTTTCACCCCTGGGAGGTTAAGGCGGCCGGGCTGCTTGATCCGAGGGATGCCCCAAGGATCTGCAGGCTCTACCTGCGCGGATGGATTCCTTCGCACAGAAATCCTCCAGTCCAATCTCCGTCCCTGAAAATACCAGGGAAATCTCAGATTTCCTTGTTGAAGGAAACTGATTGATGGAGAAACTCGTTTTTGCGCTCTGACCTACCCATGGCAGTCTTGGAGTGCGGTTTGAAGGGTTGAACAAGCCATGCAATCGACTTGCCCCAGACAATGGCTGCCCGACGATCACTTACAAATCATTGCTTCAGGGCCGAAACAAGATGGACCCTTTATGCATTCAGAAAGGGCACCACATTGAAACTTAGGCTTCCTTTCTGCTCATACCTACATGCCACGTCATACTCACATGCCGCTTCGTGCTCGCAGCTGGCCCCGCTGGAAAGCTCCTTGCAACCCATGTGGTTCTCCAACGAGTCCCCGTGTCTATGGCCCCATCTCCCGGGCCACACGGTCGGAGCCTCTTCAGAGGCCTTGCTCTTGGCACCTCACCAGTTCAAAAAAAAAATCACCCTAGCAGCTTTGACACCTCCCGCGTTTTTGAGATGCGACCTCTTTTCCTGCGGTTTCGTTGCAAGGGACTCCCCTTTAGTGGGGCTTCGCCTTGTTTTTAGGGTTCTTGGCTGCAACATACACTCTCAAGTGGACGTCCCCTGTGGTCCTATGAACTTTCCAGCCACAGCACCGGCCAGGTGGAGCTCGTTGAACAGCGAAAAGCCTCCCGGCCTCTGAAGGAAAGGGAAGCAACGGACCGTTGGGAGAAGCCTTTACTCCACCAAACAGCTTTCCGTAGACAAACAAACGGACCAAGGGACCGACAGGGAGGGTACCATCCGAAGCACTCCTTGAATTGATCATCCTTGAATTGACTTGGAACTTGTCATCCTTGAAATGACTTGGTTGGAATTGTTCTCATCCAATCCCTCCAATGTTTTCAAAGGTCGGCGTCTTCGGTTTGTCTAGGCATGGGAGGTGGCAACCGGCCATACATTTTGGTGAAAACGCGCGTAGGAGTTTGATTGGTTGAACTTCTTCTTGAAGGTGTGCAGTAGGGAATGAGCGAATGACCCTGAACCATCCCTTGTGGTGGCTTCCTTTGAGGGAATCCCTGGGTTCATTCCCACATTCCCTACTGAGCTCCAGCAAGTCTTGGCAGACACCAAACATCTATGGCTGGATTTATAGAACCAACCGTTCTACGGGCTCTTCCAACCATAAAACGTCCATAGCCAACGGGGGAAAAGTCCTCCCGGGACCCACTTAACTTCCCGTGAAAGGTTCGGATGGCGTCAGTTGTAGATGAAAGTGGAAGACGTGTTGGTTGCACGGGGAAAGTCCCCACACCCCGAAACGGATTGCTTAGTTTGGTCAACTTGAGGATTGCCCATGGGAAGTCTCCTCAAACGATGCCCCAAACTTCTTGTCCGACTCCGGGATGATCGAGCGAGAGATTCCCCCTCAAACCAAAGCAAGGCAGCACTCCCTCGTTGAAGCAAAGCAAAGACTATGAAGATAGCAAAACGAGCTGAATGATCCTGGTTGACCGGATTCTTCACTGGCTCCTCTTCCGTTTCCAGATATCCCTCAGGAAGGCTCCAACAAGGGAACCGCAGCCACCCCCCCCCCGTTGCCACCCTTCTCCTTGTCCTAAAAGCCCAAGAGGTGCACCCTCGACAACACACGAACTGGGCGGCTTGCCTTCAAACACCTCCCAAGATTGGCAACTGCCCTCGGAAAAAGAAACAACCCACACATACGTCAAATAGCAACCAACTTCTTTCTCCTCAGATCTTCTTTGGACCATCTTCCGGTGGTTTACCTTCCGGGCACCCTACCTCTACCTGAAAAAGCGGAGCCACCTTCCGGCCATTTTTCACGGCTCCGAGCCGATCTCCGGGGCCCCCGGGCTGCCTAAGGCGCGAGTTCAGCACCAGACTCAAGGCCAAGGCTTGGAGCTCTCGCGCGCCTCAGCCGAGCGCCGAAGTGGTGGAACTTTCGCTAAGGCCGTGCCCGGGCTGACATGCCCCAAAAATCTAAGATTGGTGGACACATCTTGACATACCCATTGTCTCTCATGGAACTCGATGGGTACAGCGCTTTCTCAAAGATCCCAAAAGCTGTAGGGGCTTCGAGGCTCGGAACCCTTTTGGCGATTGCAACAGGGACAGAGGGAAGCCGCCCCAAGAAGGTGCCGTACAGACGAGCCATGCGGAAAAAACCGATTGACCATAGGATTGTCCCAAGACCCATGTCAAAAATGGCGGACGTCCGAACCTGTTTATGGTTGGGACTATCGCTTGCGGGCTTTGATGGTGGCTCACCTGTGTATAGCGTGTGCATCTACACATGAAATTGCCTTGTGACATGCTGATATTGCATGCAACAATTGTGATTACACATGTTGACATCAAAGCACGATAAGTACTAGTTGCATAGCCACAAACGCAGGTCGAACTTCTGTATGTGCATGTGTATATATGTGTGTGTATATATATATATATATATATTTGTAGTCTGCCCCTTCTGAGCATGAATTAGAAGGTAAACCTCGGGAACCTCTGGGGTTTGGAAATTGAGTTCGAGACATAGCGGCCGCTTCCAATTGGTTTCAACAAGAACCAGGAGTCAAATCCCACATCCAAACCTGGCACAAGGATCCAAGCCTAGTGCCCACTCCAGGCTGTTGGAAGGAAACCAAGAAGCCCTTGTTGTTTCTAGGAACGCCATCTCGTTTTAGAATTGACCGACGTCGTTTCTTCAATTTGCAGGGAGCAACCAAAGGCCTCTTAGAACCTTCCGAGAACCGTCCGTGTTGTGACAAGAGTTTCTTGGAAGGGTTCTAAACGGGTCGGTCCAAATGTCTCTCCTCAAAAGGGCAGATCAAATGAACATTGGCCCTGGCTCAAGCTTCGGCCGGGCCGCGGCAGCTGGATTGCGGCAGCGTCTTCTCCTGCGAGAGTCAACACTCTCCCAATTAACCAATTCGCCTTATGAAACGAGCGCGCGCCCGATCAGGCGCCGACCAAGCCCCCGTCAGAATCTATAGACTCGGGGCTCTTTCACTGGCATTGGACGTGTGAACCACAAACATGATTACATATTACCACCCTCATGGCTCGGCTGGGTATCTCCCCTCTTTGTTGAAAAGCCTGGGCACATGTTCTTCCCCAAATGTGTACACATGTTCCTCCAGGCAAAGGCGCCAAAAAAAAAAACAGACCTGCCTCCAACATATCCCCCAGCTCGCACATCGAGGCGGGGGAAGGTGCCGGGACCCTCCGGGACCCATGCTCTCACCCAAAAAGGCTGCGGCAGCGGCGTGCGCAGTGGCGCAGTCGATTTCGCTGTTCTTTTTTTTTCGCGGTTTTCTCCACATTCCTGGGCTTGCCCGGGTTTTTCGAAGACAAAAACGGTTCTTCCAGACCCCCCGGCTTGGCCCTAGCCAACATAGTGTCCCGTATGGATGTGTCTCAACATTGCATATGGACCCCAAAAATTGTCGCGGTCGCTTTTTGTTTGTTTCTTCCATACCCCTCGGCTTGGCCGGGTTTGTCTCAACATTGGACTTGGACCCCCAAAGTGGATGGTGTCCCTTTTTGGCTTCCCTGTAAAACTTGCTGGTTCAATAGGCAGGGAAGGAGAATTGGAATGACCCCACGAAAAGCCATCCAACTGGTGGTTTCCTGAACAAACGGATCCCCAACCAACATCCGGACTCGGTCATTCCCCACTGAGCACAAGCAAGTTGTGGGGAGGGCATATCCCATTTCAAGTTGTGTCTCCCAATTGGAAGGGCCATCGACCTGTGTCCCATGCGCGCCTTGTTTAAAACCCCCCCCAAGCTGGGAATGCACGCAGCGGGGATGCCATGGATACGACTTTGCCCAAGCATGAATTGGATCGTCACGCAGGGTCCAATTGCATAGAAAAACGGTCCTTGAACCACACCCATGTAGAGCTTTCCTTCAGCTTGCTCCCCAAAACCCATCATGGGTGTGTCTTGTTTGTTCAGGGCCCCTCAAAAATTGTGGACCTTCCCTTCGGTGTCCCTTCAAACCCGCAAAACACGGAGCACCAAGTCCACAACGAAAACCCATCGCCCGACTCCAGAACGCAGTTCCGGGGCGCCCCGGCCGGTGCTGTCTTGGGCCTCAGCGCGTCTACCTGATACTCCTTGGGGGGTTGTTCGTTTTAATGATACCCCTTTGGTCAGTTTTAAGGGGGAACCAAAGCAGAACCACAACTTGGGGTGGGGGTCCGATAGAAAATGACAGACCCATACAATGTGTGCGGCAGCTTTTTGTTCTTACCCGACGCAACTCTTCATTTCAGGTCGCTAGGTTTTTGAGAGGCGAAACCCCTATGTCTTGGGTTTCCTACAGCTACGTGATACACAAATCAAGACATATGTTCATTCGGCGGCGTGATATATTGCTTGCAATATCTTCACAAGCGTCATGTAAGCTTGCCTCTTCATGTTGTTGATCAATATTATTGGCCCCAAAATGACCATGGGTAACTGTTCCCATGTGGTGAAAGTCATGTTTTTGTTGGGCTCCCAAAAATGTTCACCCTGTGTTAAGGACCTGTTGATCAAACCCCCACGTGGTCTTTTTTGCGCCAGGGCAACAAATGCAGAGGTGATTGAGGACCCGGCCGCGCGGTTGCCTCGGTGGTGTCCTCTCCACTCGCAGATCGGAGGTGCGGGCCAGTGGGAGAACAAAGTCCGAATGATCGGATCCAATGAAGGCCCGGTGACCCCGAATGAATGCCTTGCCCATTGGATTTTCTAGAACACCAGCCCCAAAACAAGGAACCTAGACCCTCACACTTCCCAAACAAATGGGATATTCTCCCAAAATTATGGACCGAACTCCTCTTTTCATGGGTGGTTTGAGGGGTTCAGGTACTTTTTCCAAACACTCCCACCCAGCGAAAGCCGCGCCGTCCGAAACTTCGCGCGTCCTTGGAAGCTTTGGCCTGAGCCAATCGCTATGCTCCCAGGTCCAAAGGTGGGTCTTTCTGTGGCCCACGGCTTTTGGCTTGTTCTGTTTAAGAGGAATCCAAGACCCTGGTTGCCCGTAATAGGTGGCTTTTTGTGGTTGGCTCAGAAAAGGGGGTGTCCTTCACCCAGTCCAAGCCATACATCTGGGTTCTTGCTGTTCAGCGGGAGAGTGGCCTGTCCATTCTTGCCAAAGTGATTCCCTTTCTCCTATAGGTGACCAAGACAACCGCTCCAAAAACCAAGCCCACGATCCGCGCCTCGCCCGACTGACTCTGGGCTTCGTTGTGGTACTGTACCTCAAAAATCCCGCGGGAACAAAGGAAAACGCGCGAAAGTCCAGCAAATGGTACATCGTCCCAAAAAACGGGCTGAAGGTTGCACAATACCTTTTTTCCATTGCGTGAACCTGTGGTAAAACCTTGCTGAAGAAAGAGCGGGTTGACCCTCTTTCCAACTTGTCCGTCGTTCTTTGACGGGTAAAAGCTGACCCAGGCAATGCATCCCTCCAAGAGGTTTGTTGGGGCGCCTCCAGGCCTGCGCCAATCCGAAGGCCTTCAAGAAACAACAAAAGCATGCATTTTGAGTTCTCAAGCATTTTGTTGTTGGAGAAAACTCCTTTAAGCCACCATTTGGAGATGGTTTTGAGGATGTCGCTTCAATGGACGCAGTGTTGCTCGAAAGCAAGGGGACCAGCAGCCCGTGTCCAATTCTCCTGTTGAAATGGCCTTCTGACAACGTGGGCGAGGTGTTTTGAAGGCGGCCCCTTCCCTCGATCCGAAAATCGAAAGACCCCCGATGTCTCGTCAGGCGCACCAGGGCTTTCGCCGCCGCGGCACCCTGTCCGGCAGATACTTGTCCCAATGCGCGGAGGGCGGGGGCATGGATGTGGGGAGAAGTGGTTTGTCTCGAAGAGAAGTTGCCAGGATACATTTTGGACTGAAAAGAGGAGCTCCGAATGGTTCTTGGGGTTTGCCATTTCAGACCCTAATTGGCGGTCCCCCCGCCCCCCACTTTCGGGCAGGTTGAAAACTGCCCATCGCTCTCTGCACCGCGCAGGCGTTGACGCGACATGTCCGAGAAGCAGTCACCCTTGAAACCATGGTATTACCCTCCGACCAACATGGAAGTGCACAGCCCTTTCCAAGAGGAAAGTCGTCTTTCTACAGGGGTCTTCCATGTTAGCTGGTGGGAGGGCAACGTCGCCCAATTTTCCTGGTAAAGCATCGAAAAGGGCAGAAAGCCTGGTTGGAGCTGTGCCCAACTAACCGTCCTCTACCTGGCTTGGCTTTGGGTGTCCATTCAACATGTCCCTGGGGACAAACAAACTCTGCACAGGAGCCAAATGGCTACTGTCTATCGATACGGGTTTTCCGGAATAGCCAACGCCTCGGTTTGCCTGACTTCCTTCAAACCAACCAAACCGCCAACTTCAAGAGGCAGACTTAATGTTCACCCCAGATTAATCAACCCCTGTTCATTAATATGGGGGTGGTCCCCTCCAAAAGTGAGGATTTCCCACTAAACCCAGGGACACCCCCCCCTTAATTGACTGGGGTTGATTAATACGGGGTCAACATCAGGCAACCCACAGAAGAACGCGCCACCCTGCCACCCTGCCGCTGTCCCATGCGCCTGAGGGCGACGTCTCATCCTGCGCAGGTCAACCCCAAGCTGCGAAGTCGTGAAATGCAGCCCGGCCTCGTCCCATCGGAGTGAGCAGCTTGCGCAAGCTGTCTGCTCCCTGCGAACATGCAATGATGATGTCCAAAACGTGGCAAATCTGATTGATATGTGTCTGGAGTATAACTGGCCAAGACCTATACTGACAATACCGTCATTCAGAGTCATTCATTGTAATCCAACGGTTTCTGGTGCGAGAATCAAGGTGATTGATGGAGCTTGGCGGCGGTTCACCGATTTCCTCCATCTTTGCTCGCTGAAACGTGCCGTTCTGTTGCAGGCTTGGACCAGGAATCGAGCGATATGGCTAGCAACTCAGACTCCACCATCCAAGTCAACGTGCATCTGCAGGCAATTTTGGTTCGTCTCTGAAATGCAGGGACGCCCGCACAGGGTGTTTCCCCTTTGGAAATGCCTGTAAAGCACCCAAGTCCCTTTCGAAGGCTTCCTTTCTCAGGGCCTGCACAAGCATTCTGGGCACGCAGTCTACATTGAGGCCCTTCCGGCAAGCCGCGAGCCAAGGACCGGCCTTCAAAAGCCAAAGGAACGCTCCGACTTTGGGAAAGCAACCAAATCTGAGGTTTTTTCGGCCGAACCGGTGGCCGTTTCAACTGGCCAAGTTGAGTTTCGGCCGTTCGGCCGTGGCTCACGCGATCTGCCAGAGGGCCGCTACCGGGCGCCGGAAAACGACTCCAGTGGCCTCGAATTTCCCCGGGGCCGCGCGAGCTCGCCGCGCTGGTGAGATCTGCGCGCGGTCGTGACGGATGAATCAACCCGGTTTGGATTTTGAGCGCAACCCAGTTCAGAGGGGGGTTTCCATTTACACCCATTTTGAGTACCTATGTTTTGACCCACACCCAGATCACTTTGGGGTGAATCCCTTTGAATCTGCCAGGTCAATTCATCCGGGTACCTTTGCTCATGACCGAGCCATCCGGCTTCCACTTCGAGCGGCACGTGGGCGCAAGGCCACGGGTCATCAAGAACTGCTAACGCTTTTCTGAGGAAGAACTGGTTGTTTTTGTCTGTAGGAATGACATTGACTATGAAGCTTTAAATTTGGAAGCCTCAGTGGGTTGAGCAACTTGAACGCTTTTGTGAATCCGACTAGTAGGTCATCGAGTCATTGCACTGCCTGCCCCGCTGCCTTTCCCTCTCACCCAGCATGGTGCAAGGTCGGTCTTGCAACGGCGTTGTTTGCCATCGCGACGCTCTTTGTGTCAAGTGGACCGCCAAACGTTTCCATCTGCATGTCATGACATCTAACTGCATGGGCCAATGATAAGCTTCACGCTTCATTCTGGGTTGATGATATCTGAGGCGAGGCACAGCTACGTCACTTCGCACTTTTGGAAGTCGGCAACATGTGCCCTCAGTCCCTCACTTTTGCAAGGTACCTGCGCAGGCGGATGCCCAACAGAGAAAGAAAGGGTGCAAAGTGTCAAGAGGCCAGATATCATAGGATGCCACCCTTCCCCCAACCCTTTCCCCCCTTCCCCGAAACTAGGCCTTATTGCAAACCTCGGGGGAGCTTCGACCCGAAGAAAAAGCCGACACCAAGACTTGAGCGTCCAGAATTGCACATTGCACAACTGGCGCAAGACAACAAGCAAGCCCTTCAGATTGGCCAAAGTGGACAGACTGGCTTCAAGCAAAGTGCGTCATGTCTCAACCCTAGATGCTTCACCCAAAAACTACTCCCTACTCAAAATACCCGCTTTTTCTTTTTTCAGGGTAGTGTTGGGAAAACCTGGTTCTCCATGGTAAAAACCTCCTTTTTAGTAGAGGGTCGACATGATAGTAGGGGGTAGTTCTCCAAAAGCACGTGGTTCTTACCCATTGCTCTCTTCCAAGGTTCCCCTTTTCAGCCCCGCAGGCTCCACAAGCTCACTCCGTCAGCATCTCGGCACCCTTGGCGAAGCTGTTCCTGGCCTCCGGATTTCCAAGCTCCAAAAACACCCCAGGAAACTCAGCCCAAAAGGTGATGTTGAGTAAAATCATAAGGGTAACTAGAGTTTTGCTCCCTTTTTTTTAAAGGAAAGAAACAAGAAACAGAAACTGGCCAAGGCACCTTTGGTCAGGTGTAACCGTCAGCCCAAAAAACTTGCATCAACAAAAATCCGCCAGAGCCGAAATTTCATGGACTCTCCTGGCGCTTTGGCGGCAGGAAATCGGCGAATTGGGTGTCCCTTCAGGCAGCAACACAAATCCCGATCAAAGGCAGCCGTAAGTTAACATCCTAGAAATAACGGCGCTGACACTGCAAACCCAAGAAGTCCAACCGTCCAAAACAAAATGCAAACAAGGCTCAACAAAAAAACTGCACCTGAAGTTCGCATCACAAAACGCTGCAACACGAGACGTCCCACGAAGCGCACGAAAACAAAGGATGCCCTAAGATCTTTCACTAAGAGCGACGACTTTTAGTGGGGTAAATACGGAAACCCAGCCACTAAACCAACTACAAACCCCTCACAAGACCTAAGTTGAACCGATGATTCGCTGGTTCCAAACCCCCCTTCCAAGAAAACCAAGGGAAACCAAAGGACCCCCTCCCCCTCCACCCCCCCCCGCGCCCACTTCGACCCACCGACGCCTGCGGCGACGTCGAAGCGACCCGGGGCCCCGGGCCATCTCGGCGCCCCGGCCAGCTGCCATGGAAGCCAAGGACTCGGAGCGGCCACAAGGCCGCTGGCTTCAAAGAACAGAAACGCGAACATCAGAGGGAACGGGAGAAGGGGGCAGGGGGGAGGATGGGAAACATATGTATATATATATAGCTACATATGCACATGAACATGCCTATGTACATGCTCATATAAGGCTGGAGTTGATTAAGCGATGCGAAAATGCCGGCACGCACACGCATATGTGTGTGTATACATATATACATATATACATTTATACATATATACATATACATATGCCAAAAAAGTACATATATATATATATATACATATATATATATATCCCAAATCGGGGGCTTGCTTTGGGGACCAACTAGTGAACATCGGAGCGAGCTCAGCGCGACAGCCAGTGCGAACTTTTTTACAGACCCTCTCTCGTCCGTGAATCATGTCTTAGAGTCAAACCCTAGAATAACAAAATAGGGCTGTGAGCCGTGACATAGTTACCCGAAACGGGTTGCCCTGGTACATGAAACCAAGAACTAACACCTGCGGTCCAATTCCTGGTGACCAAATTTGACATACCCATATAGACTGCGGATCTGTTGAACAAAGAGCACATGTCCATTTTGACCGAGGCCTTCTTTTCCTTTTCCGTGCTGAGCAGTTGAGCCACAATTAAGCACTCAGGACAAAATATGTCTGAGACGTTTTCGCAAAACCGAAAGGCAAAGAATCAACATGGGCGAAAAGCTGTCCTCAGCTTTTTCTGGCACGGGGATCTTATATTTACCCCTTTCGGTGTGATTTGTGGCTCAATTGCCTAGAAACTGCTGTGGGCATGGTGAGCCAAGTTGGTGTAAACGCCTGGACACTGGTCCCTTTCCAGAGAAACACAAAGAAGGTCGTGCAAAGAACAGTTGCCTTTTAACATGTTTGGGGGTGGGCCCGTGCTAAAAGGTTCTTATGGCGAGCGCTGGGCCGGCGGCAGACATGTCCTCTGTGTTCCTGGCGCTTTTGAGCGAAAGGACGAGCAACTTGGAGCGTTGGAAACCCAAGCCGGGCGGGCTGGATATCTTCGTCTCCATCTCCAAAGTAATCTCAGCCGAACCGACGCACAACTCAAGGCATATGCTGCTTGGTCCACTCACATCTTTACGAGGGTGCTCCAACCATGGGAAAAACAGCCCTGACTGACCTGCAAGAGCTGCCTGCTTCGCATTGCGCAAGTTGCTTGCTTCTCTCTAGGAGCACTGAGCGCGCCACTGGCAGAAGAAATGGCGCCAGCCGCCGAAAACTTGTTGAACCTGCTTGGCCCGGCATAGGACAGAGCACTTGCAGCTTTTGGAGTCGAATTGTCCCTGGCAAACGCAAAGGATGGCGCGCCATCCAATTCCCAATGATCCGGCGCTGCCTGCTTTCCCGGTCCATCCTCTGCTGGGCTGACTCTGGCTCCATCCTCAGCTTGCAGGTCTCTTGCGCACTTCGCGGAAAACCGAGATCCACTCAGCCGAAAGGTCTCGAGGCGAGCTGGGAATGGTGCGAACCCAAACCGAATATGCGCTCTTGAGTAGATCATCCTGATGGCTTTGGTACTTCTCTTCCCTGACGTTATCTCACGTCGAAATGAACCAAGCGAAGGCTTCGGGCGGAAACGACCCCGGTCCATCGGGCTCATTCTTGGCGCGCTGCTCATTGAAGAAGTCGGAGGAAGAGATGCCCTCGAGAAACTGAAGACCCAAATCCATCCATGGAAGCCATGGCTCGAAGCTTTTGCCAGGCATAGGTGGCCTTTCGGAAAAATAGATGGCCCTGGCAAAGGGAAAAAGCCCCATCTAAACCAGGGCCCGGCCTATTTTTTGAGCAAACCCACCAAAAAGGACACCTATGTTGCCAGGCCTTCTTGTTGGCGAACTTGTTCACCGAGTTGGGGTCGGACTGCGCGCGGAAGACCTGGAAGCCATGGGAGACCCCTCCCGTCTATGGGACCAATATCTTTGCCCTCCCACCAAAACCAAGATGGAACCTGACACGGGAGTGGTTTGGAACAGTTTCCTTGTAAAGGGACCATTTCCCGAACGTCGAACGGTTCCGTTGGTGGGGGGGTAGCTGGTTACCAACTGGGAAAAAGATAAGGGGGGAGCCCACTGTGTTCCCAGCAAAAACGTTGACCGAGGATTCTGGCTTCCCAGCTACGAGCATTCCCACCTCTTGCGGCGCCGGCGCCGCCGGGGCCGGCTTCGGGTCCGGCTTCGGCGCAGGCTTCGGCTTGGGCTTGGCGGCCTCGGGCTGTGAACGCGGGGGGTTAGAGGAGGTCCGGGTCCATGTCGCTGCCTTCACTTGGCCTTCGCACGGGGGCGCGTTTGTTTAAGGATACCCTTCTTAGGTGGTTTCAAAGGAAATTGCAACCAAACGAGCAAATCACTGGGCATTGCGGCGTTGCAACAAGTGAGTTGCCCACTGCGCGTGTTGGCACGCCATATTTTGCAGTCAAGCTCTTCAAACCCATCCTCCGCACACGCGGTTTGCGCGCCAAACCTGCGGCGCCTCGGTCTCCAGGTCGTCGAAGTCGAAGTCGAAGTCGATCTCCTTCGCCATCTGCTTCCCCCCCGGAGCGAAGCCTGCAGACCCAGCTACGGGTTTGGGCGCTCGTTTCGGACTCCACCCCGAAAACGTGAACACGAGCCATGCGTGAGCCGTGCGTGAGCCGAAAAAATTCACCGCTTGCCCGCCTGCCGGCTTCGGGGCGGCGGGGCTCATCTCCATCTTGCGCACCACCTGGCAAAAAACCCGACGCCTTCTTCCACGTCTCGCGGCAGTCTGAACATTCGATCCATCAACGTGTTGGGTCTCGTGCTTTTCTTGGATCCTTGTTCTTGAATGTGTTTCACTCCGATTAGGACTTCGCCCTCGAAAGGACTTCGCCTCGGTTCACTGGCGGGGCTCCGGATGAAAACGGAATCAAAACGAGGAGAAGATCCATCTACTGACCTAAGGATCGAAGCCTGTCAGCGAAAAAAACACCCCACACACTCAAATTCCACCAAGCAAAGAGACCCCAACGAAAAGAGACCCAAACCAAAAGGCTCGCGCGCGCTTCGCTCCTCTCGCTCGCTGAGCCCCCTGCGTGGCTGGAAGGCACCGAGGGTTTGCTCGGGACCTGTCAGCTCTCCCACGCACGTTCTAGACATGGAATTTGACGTTCCAGACGTGGTCCCTTTTAAAAGGAGAATGGTCCAGAACCGATCCCCCGAACGTCCCGAACGTCGAACGGTTCCACGTGTTAGTTGGGTGGGTACAACTGGGATGGAACCGCAAGGTGCCTAAGTCCCCAAGCGGAGAGCAAATGTATCCGGACCCACTTCCGACTCAGGTGTGGACCGCAGCTGGCGCGGAGGCGCCTCTGCAAAGCCAACGCTTTCCGGAACTCGAGTGAGCCGGGACTCGTTGTCACACTGGGATTGCCCAAAGATAGAAGGTGCAACAAAATAGGACCCTATTATGGGTCCAAAGGACTTCCTTTAGCTTCCAAAAACAAGGGGAATTTAGTATTTGAGAACCGCTGAGGGTTAAACGCTCAAGAGAAACACAGATCTTGTGTACTCTAATCCCAGAAAGCCCTAATCTAATCCTTTTTTGAGGGTTGCCTCAGAATGGAAAACAGAGATCAGGGTTTTCTTTGCATACATATTCACTCAAACGGATTGGCTCTGCCTGTTGTCCAAACCCGCTTGGTTGTTGAAGTTTCCAACAGGCCCGAAGAGAAACCAATGGAAACCACTGATCTTGAGGTCCTCAACAAAAACACAAACACCCATTTTAGGACACAAACCCGAAACAAACGTTCCCCCGCACCTCGCACCGGGGCAACCTGCTCAGGGTAGCCAGCGGGTGCCTGACACGCCGAGCAGAGGATCCCGGATTGGAATTCTGAAGCAGATCCCTTTGTGAAGCAGATCCCAAAGGACAACTCGACCTTTGGGCCAACCCCTTCAAACATGAGAACCCCAACACCTGTTGGGCAAGTTCTCAATAAGCTTGTCCATTGGCTTTCCATTCCACTTTAGGCTTGCCATTTTGGGATTGCCCCTGTTGGTTTCCCCTAGTTGGCATTTCTCCTTTTTGGGATGTCCCTTGGTCTTCTTGCCCGGCTTGACTTTTCTGTGTTTAGTCTTCCCCATGCAAAGAGTTGATACAGCCGCACCTACTGATGGTTGGGACTGTCCCTTCACCTTCACTTCGGGTTCTGCTTGGGACTCAGATGTCTGTGGCTCAAAAAATAAGCTCAGGTGATATCCCCAACAGCATGCCGTGCTCTGACTAGTGCTCGCACCACCCTGCAGCCCTCGTAGAACCTGGTGGGTGGAACCCTCGTGGAACGTTGGTGGAATGCTTGGTGGAACCCTTGTGGAACCCTACCCCAGACCGCCCCGGACCACCCCAGAGCCTATCTCGGCTGAGACCCCAAAGCTTTCAGCTGTTGGAGAAAAAGTTACCAAAACGTCAACTTGGCAAATGGAACCAAAGACTTAACACTTTACATTTTGAGTCAGATGTGGCTCTCCCTATTTCCCATTTGCGGCCTTGGCGATCGGGGGGGTGAGGTCCAGAGGTGTCGCCTCGGGCTTCACCTGATGCGAAAAAGGGGCGAAAAAAGCATCAAACAACCTGGAACTGACCGTAGGGCTGTGCTGGTGGTTTCGTTTCCGCATCTGAACCCGGGCGTGTTGGCGACTGTTGGGGATATCATCTGAGCTTGTTTGTTTCAATCAAAGCAATGTTTGGCTTTCTGTCAGTTGATGGTCCAATGGTTGGTTGATGTCTACTGTTTTTGATGTCAAAGCAAAGCAATGATCAATTCCTGTCAAGCGCCCAACAACCAATGGTCCGGTTGCTTTTCTCTCGAAAGGATGGGCTTGTCTTCAAGCGTCCTTCTGGCTTCTATATGTGCGGTGTGTCTCAAATTGGGACAAAAAACAAGCTTGCCCTTCAGTTTTCCCCAAAAATCAGGGCTTTCCCTGTTTGGTTTCCTTTAGTAAGAAGCTCACAACCGGGTTCTTTGCTTAGTTTGCGTCGCCGGCACTCGCATGCGCCCACCTCCTCCACTGGCTTGGCCTGACAGGGAGGCAACGGCAACGCAGAGAGATACCAGTCACGGTCAAAATCTACCGATCGGCTTCCCCAAGAATACATGGGAATTTTGAAAGTCCCTGCTGTTTTGCGGGAAATTGGGTGAGTCACCCATGTCCCTGCCAGTTGGCAGATCTCATATGGGACTTGTCTTCCAGATAGCAGAATCTATTCCACCATTCCACATCCCAAGGCAAATCCCTGGAAATACGCGATTCTGTCCACCGCATGTTGCTTGTAACTCACCATCCGAGTCAAATCCAAGCCTAATCTTGAAAGTCGACCCCGACCTATCTCCAACCCTTCTTTTCCGGAAAACGACAAAACAGACAAACAAACAAACAAACAAACAAACAAACAAACAAAACAAAGCAAAACAAAACAAAACAAAAACAAACAAATCACCCCGAAACGCGACCACAACCCCCCCCCCCTTTCGGTTGAAAGCCCCCGCCTGGGCCCGGTCCGCGGCCTTGCCGGCCACGCCGAAGCGATCGCAGAGCCTCTTCACCTCGACGTCCAGCTGCGCCTTGTACCTCGTGTCACCCCAACCGACAGACCGCGGACCCCACCCTGCGAAGATCGGGCCCCAAGGTCGGCAGTGGGTTCCAAATGGGAGCACGGCAAAGGGAATAATGAGGATAGGGAAGCCAGCCGGCTGGCAGGAAAAAGGGGGAGGGGCAAGAAAAACAAGATAAAGTGGGAGCCTCTTTGTGGAGCAAATGCCCAGGGATGCCTCAAAAAATCCAATTGTGGAAGGGGGTGACGTCCCCAGGTCCAAAATCCATCACAGAAACTGCCAGACACCCAAAATGAAAAGCAGAAATCCGGGCGGACACCCTGGAGAAGAAAAAAAAGCACGGCCGTGTTCCTGGAAACCGACCCCCCACTTCTCCTTCTGCTTCCCATGTTCAGGTTGGCTCGCTCCCGTGGCCTCTGGGCGATCTTGGAGGTGTAGTCTACCGGCCGACCGGAGCTCGAGAGCTTCCCCATCTCGTTGCTCTTGAAGAACTCCAGGGCCTCCGGCTTCGGCTTCGGCTTCGGACGACTCCGACTGCACGGCTCCGTCTCAACCGGGGAAGCCCCGTGTCTTCTTGCTCGCTCGGAAACATCGCGAAGCGGGGGAGACCAAAGACTGGCTTCATGTGGGGGAAAGGAGTTGGAATGGGTCGAGCCTTACTGATTCGATGGCATGAGTTGATGAGTTGAAAATAGTTGAAATGACCTCGATATGAACCATCTCTTCCGGCTTCCTTGGGGAGTAGTTCCTTCCCAAAACCCCTGTTGACTTCTTACTGAGAGCCAGCCAAAAAGTCGGCGGGGGGAATCGATGTGGACAGGGAACCGAAGTGAGGCACAAATCAAATTTGCATTATGACAGGTGGGAACGGTCTATTGGACAAATTGGAAGATAGGGATCAGCCTTTTTTCCTATCCAAGCATCACACCAGGGGAAACATGAGGCCCGAAGAGATCGGGTGGACGGGAAGGAAGTAAGAAAAGGGAGGGTGGGAGGGAGGGAGGGAGGGAGGGAGGGAGGGCGGGATGGGATGGGATGGGATGGGATGGGATGGGATGGGATGGGATGGGATGGGATGGGATGGGATGGGATGGGATGGGATGGGATGGGATGGGATGGGATGGGATGGGATGGGATGGGATGGGATGGGATGGGATGGGATGGGATGGGATGGGATGGGATGGGATGGGATGGGATGGGATGGGATGGAAGGGGATGGAAGGGGAGGGAGGGAGGGAGGGAGGGAGGGATGGGAGGGAGGGAGGGAGGGAGGGAGGCTTGATTAATAGATGGAAAAGAGGCCGCTAGCTGTGCAGCGAATCTTCAATGCCTTCTTCTCTGTTTCCAGCTGGTGTTTGAATTTTGGTGCCCACGCAAGGAAAGGTCACTTGCCTGATGCCGAAAGGATGTGTTTGAGTGAGGGACGGAACCTTCAAACAGCCAAGCCATAAGAAAATCATCAGGACCCCAAGAAAATATCTTCTGGTTCCTTCTTCCCAAGCTGCCAAAGGTTCCAACAGGAACTCCAGTGCTACGCCGACGGCCGAGGCTCGGCCCCGAGAAACCCCAAGGGGCCTTGCCATTGCCACCAGCTGCCATCCTGAGGGCAATGAGGAACCTACCCTGCCCCCCCCCCAAGAAAAAAATAATGTATATATATATATAATAAATAAATAAATAAATTAAAAATAAATAGATTAAAAATAAATAGATTTAAAACAAAATAAATAAACATATATATATAACAATGAATGAATGAATGAATGAATGAATGAATGAATGAATGAATGAATGAATGAATGAATGAATGAATGAATGAATGAATGAATGAATGAATGAATGAATGAATGAATGAATGAATGAATGAATGAATGAATGAATGAATGAATGAATGAATGAATGAATGAATGAATGAATGAATGAATGAATGAATGAATGAAATGAATGAATGAATGAATGAATGAATGAATGAATGAATGAATGAATGAATGAATGAATGAATGAATGAATGAATGAATGAATGAATGAATGAATGAATGAATGAATGAATGAATGAATGAATGAATGAATGAATGAATGAATGAATGAATGAATGAATGAATGAATGAATGAATGAATGAATGAATGAATGAATGAATGAATGAATGAATGAATGAATGAATGAATGAATGAATGAATGAATGAATGAATGAAATGAATGAATGAATGAATGAATGAATGAATGAATGAATGAATGAAATGAATGAATGAATGAATGAATGAATGAATGAATGAATGAATGAATGAATGAATGAATGAATGAATGAATGAATGAATGAATGAATGAATGAATGAATGAATGAATGAATGAATGAATGAATGAATGAATGAATGAATGAATGAATGAATGAATGAATGAATGAATGAATGAATGAATGAATGAATGAATGAATGAATGAATGAATGAATGAATGAATGAATGAATGAATGAATGAATGAATGAATGAATGAATGAATGAATGAATGAATGAATGAATGAATGAATGAATGAATGAATGAATGAATGAATGAATGAATGAATGAATGAATGAATGAATGAATGAATGAATGAATGAATGAATGAATGAATGAATGAATGAATGAATGAATGAATGAATGAATGAATGAATGAATGAATGAATGCATGAATGAATGAATGAATGAATGAATGAATGAATGAATGAATGAATGAATGAATGAATAAATAAATAAATAAAAACACATTAAACAAATAAATCACCATCGAGCAGTCCCCAGTCAAGTCATGCGGTGGACTCTCCGGCCCGAAACCTCGTCAGACAGTGCCCTTTTGCCCCAAGTGCAACAAACCCAGAAACTGCCAGGAATCCGTGGTGTAGAGGTTCCCTAACCACCCTTTGCTTACCTTTGGCTGAAACCCACAAAGTCAATGGAACCATTGTGTTTGTGCTTTTAGTTTACAACCATGAATCATCGTCAGTGCCATTCAGTACAAAACAAGACACCTATAAAGGCAAACTGAAACAAACCCTGGCTCCAAAAGGAAATGACTGTGCGTCAAAACCCCTACCCCCACTCAACATCCCAATCCCCACTAAAAAGTGTTCTAAAATGGGTGGTGCACCTACCCCAAAATGGTACCATTGGTTTTGACCCACGGCCAAATACGAACAAGATTGACCAAGCCGGCGCCTGAGACTTCCGCTCGACCCACGGACCCCTTCGCTTCCCCGAGGCCGGCGCTGCACCATCTGCTCCGGAGCGAAGCTGTCCAGCTCCACCTTGCGGCACGGGTCGGCACGGGCAGAGCTCCCGCAAACACGTGGTGAGGGGAAATGCGAGCCCACAGACCACCCCAGAAAGATGGGGAACATATATACCTATGCATAATGTATAAATATATATATATATATATATATACACCCGAAAAGGAGCCTTGGACGTGGGCCACATTTGATCCCCTTGCACAAACCCAAAGATTTCCAAAGATCACGTCACCAAAATCCCGTACCCCCAGTGAACATCCCAATCCCCACTAAAATACACTAAAATGTGTTGACCCACGGCCATGCGGACACCCAAAAGCTATTGGAAGCTCGCGATGGGATGCCACTCAACTTGCGCTTCGACGTAGCTGGCCCACTGGGCTCCCGGCGCTCCGGACAAAAGAGATGTGCACCCCCTGGCAGGCTGCACAGCTGCACAGCCCCACGCCCATGCGGCCGACAAAAAGTCCTCAGGTAGTTCCATAGGCTCCATGTTCCATAGGACAGCCAGGTTGCACCAAACCCTGGCCTTCCGCCGATGCTCGCCTGAGCACTCAAGGCCTTGGCGAGTTGAAAACGCGGCATCGACCGCCACTTGCCCGTCGACCCGAAAGAAAAGAGAAGAAAGTAAACTCGGACCCTCAACCAAACCCGTCCTCCTTTTACCTCATGTGGCCATCGGGATTTGTCTTACTGAAAGTGGTTGCAAGACTACCGCCGGAAGGGAGAAGCATCGACACTTGACGTCGGCTTGCATCCGTCTTCAAGTCTTGGCAAGCCCTGCACAGGTAGATGCCGTAGGTGAGCGAGATCCAGGTGGGGTTCCTGTGCCGAACCACGCACAGGAAAAGTGTCTGGCACTGGGACCGGCAAGCTGCCGCATGTTAACCAGTGCTTGCCACAGGCCGGCACGGAGAGAAAGACTCCATTATATGGGAACACGGTGCCGTTTGCCAGCTTTATGGAGAACCCCAGTGACGACTACTTGGACACTTTCGATGCCTTGGTGCACAAGCGTTTGTTTAGCACGAAATCTAAGCCAAGAAAAGAAATCTACCCAAAGCCTTTGGCCAAACTTCAAACGAAAGGAAAAGGAAAATCGAACCTACTTGTGGAAGGACGAAATCCGTTCGCGCCACTTTGAAACTATGGGGAAAAGTTGTAGTTTGTTGGCTTCTGCAGGGGGATCATCATTCCAGGGCCTCTTAGGTGCGAAATGGAAAATCGCCCATCCACATGTATTGCTGTTTGGGACTGTCAACCCTTCAGCTGTCATGTCGGAAATGCGCCTGTTCGGACATTCGAAGCAGGATCGGTTCTCGCTCTTCATGCGCAACTTCCTGGCAGCCATTGCAATGCTCTCACAGGAAACGGAGCAATGGGACACTCAGATTGTGAAAATGTCATGGGAACCCAAGACCTCGGGCGTCAAAGACCCTTTTGCATGGGTCATATGGGCCTTTGGGTCCCTATGCTCAGATGCGTTGCATTTGAAATGCACCATGCCGCAAGGCCTGAAGAAGTTGTTGCGCACCTCGTCGGGGACGAATCCCTGCGGCCAGCCAATTAGCTCTCAGTCTGGGCTACCCTCAAATGGAACTACCATCAAAAATCAAAAGCTAAAAGGCTAAGGGGATGGCTGGGAGCCACCAAGTAGTGTCCATCAAAGTCTCTTGCAGGCGTGCAAATCGGCTTGCTCCATTTGCGGGAACCATGATAAAGTGTCCAACAGGACGTTCACTTCCCTACTGCTTGGAAGAAAATCACACACACACTTGGCTTCTTCTCTGTGCCTAAAAGCGGATTTGCCAAAACTGACTCGTTGCCTGTCCCCAGCCTTGTCGTTGACTGCACCCAGTGTGTCCTGGCAAAAAAGCGCATTTGGGCCTGAAACTCAAAAAACACCACAAACAAAGCGGGTAAGTGTCACATTGGGTGGTTTGCCGTTGGTTTCTCGCTCAACCAACCTGAAAAAGTTGCCCTCAAAAACACAAACCCAAATGTGATCTCCAAGAGAGCATGGGAAAAGTTGGTGATTCGGCCACCAAAACCTGCTTCGCATAACTTTTGGCAGCTACCCAAACAAAGTGCACAAACTCCTTTTCAAAGACTATGTGGGTGTGTCTTTGGTTTAAAAGGAAGCCTAAAGGGAAAACGGCTAAGCCATCTTGGTGGGGCCCCGACAAAAAGACGAGCCATCCATGTTCCGCCTTTAAAGGAAGTGGTTCGAGACCGAGCGGGCCGATTCACCGCTTCACCCGGGACCGGGGCGCCGGCTTTGCCGACAGCTTCCAGGGCCTCCATCGCTTGGGGTCCGCACCTCGCGGATCGGGCGATGGATGCGAGATGAGAAACCCCAGTGGATGCACCGGTGGATGAAATGGAGCGGATCCGGATGACTTTTTGTCGGTCTGCGGTTGTTTCCCGGGTGGTCTTTTCCTCGGAGCTGGAGCTTGACTTGGGAGAAGGTAGCCGCTTGACACATGCGGCCAAAAGTCCACGCAGGAGTCTCATCTTGTGGTTGTCTCAAGTCCCTAAGCGGATGACCATCCGTTACACATATGGCAGTGGGTCAAAACTAGGTGACAAATGGGTGTCCATCCACCCCAAAATGGAGCCATAGGTTATGCCCCATGGCCATATGATATCTGTTCGAAGGTGATTCCAAAACCGTGTCAATAAAATATGTGAACATAAACAAAGAATCAAGCTGCCTGTGTCAGGCCACTGTCCTTCTGGGAAAGCAAACGTCTAACCCCACCTTTCTTTGGGACTGTGTGAATGTTGACTTTGGGATTGATCTGCAGGGCGATATTAATCGGGGGAATCCCCTTGAAAATGCCTTCAGTTCCTACGGGAAGCACCCCAGACTAGAAGGGTCCGGATTGATCCGAAGTCCAGAATGGCAGCAGATCCACCAGCTATACACCGAAATACGACGCGAGGGAACCTTCTGAGTAGTAGGGGCATTTGTCGCTCCCTTCCAGGTCGCCGTGTCAAAAACGGATTGAGCACAAAATCCACAGCGAACCAACATGAGTCACAAACCATGCCCAATCGAGACATTCCATTGCGCATTCCTTGCTCTTCAAACGCTTCCCATATCTTCGGGGACTCAACAGCCAGGCTTTGAGACCTAATTCCAATCGTCCGGCGGTGTGGGAACCGCACCTGTGACACTAGGCAAAACTCAATCCCACTGGCTCCGGGTGTTCGAGAAATGATGTTCAATCCAGCGGAAAATGAGACAAAGTCATCCGCCCCAGTTCATGGGCGCCGCTTTTGCAGCTGGACACGCCCGCGGGTGCTGCGCCAACAAGGGCACCCCAAAAGTTGCGATTGGTTGAACTCACGCTGCAAAGCGAATGCACAAAGAAACCAGCGGATCCCAGAGAAAAAAAAAGGTCAACCCCTCCAGATCCCTTTTTTCAAACGGAGCTTGCCCCCGACCAAAAAAAGCGCGCCCCGAAACCGGTCGCCGCGCCTCCTGGTCACCGCGGTTTCGGCGAAAACGGGGGGAAGGAGCCGCTCACCGGCCGAGGCCGGGAAGCTTGCGCAAAACTCGCGGAAAACGAAGATCCACGAAGCCCGACGTAAAACCCGAAAAAACATCAGGGGCAAAAAACAAACAAACAAGTGATTCAAGAAAAGGGGCCTAATTGTTTTCTTCGGAAATGGGGTCTATCTCTAGAACAGCTGAAATGCCCAACCGCAAGCCAAACATGCGTGCAGATTCCTTGCCAATTCGCACTTGCTAAATTAGACTGGAACCCTTCCCAAAGCCACTCTCGGTGCCAAGAGTCCCAGCCAGCAAGAGCTTCGCTCCAAATTGCGCTGGCGCAGTGCGAGCTGACACTGCCAGGAGGCAGGCGCCTATAGGTGGGCCATAGTGCCTTACACCGGATGAAATTTGCGAGCGGTTGGAGAGAGGGTGAATGGGCGCAAGAGAGTCCCACTTCCGCCCAATGTAAGAGCGCACCCGACCGTGGGCATTCGCAAGACTCACGGCTGGCCACATTTCTTCTTGTAGGCATCGGCAGCTGTCAAGTCCGTGGCAAGAGCCGGCAACGAGTGGTGGTATCAACCACATCCTCTCTTGCAACGGCGCAACGATCAAGTGCACAAAATACAACCATGCAGCAGGAGAGATGGGGGATGCGCGGGCAGGGGAGTGACTTCAAAGATGCTCATGTGCAATTGCGGGCTATGCAAATGCCTTCTTGCTTAAAATTCGTTGAGGACTTGCAGCACTGTAAACCACACGCTGAAAGCAGAACGTTCGTAGCGAGTGGATAGTGCAAGACAAACAGGAAGTGGAGCCATAGCACGGCATTGTAGCACGTTGCTTGGCGCTTCGACCCCTGCTAGGCGCCTTTGTGCAGGGTGTGGAAAGAATCAGCGCAGCCAATGTGATATGCCGACCTGGCACCCTCCAATGTCAGGATGTGCCATCCACGTTTATGGTAGGCACGTCGCAGGTCAGAAGCCGGGCCCTCTCAGAGCTCTGACCTCAAGGCTTCAACTTCGCTTCAGCATCCGCACTTTTCCAAATGGCGCGATCTCTCAATGGCCTCTTGCGCCCGGCTGCTCAGCCAGAGCGGATTAAAATGAATGAGGAACGTAGAATGGGATCCTCTCTTGCTCGCTTCCACTCACTTCGCGATGCCATTTTGCAAGAGGGGAGCCCGCCTTGCTTCTGTTCAAGGTCAATTCAAAGCTTTCCGGCTGCATGTTTAGGTGTGTCTTGAAATACCCCCAAAAAAATTGGTTGTCCCTTTAGTTTCCCTTTGAAACTACCCCTAAAGGTGCCTTCAAAAAGGAGACACGCCCATTTGTCAATTACAGGGAAGGCTTGAAACATCGCACAGCGCGCCGCTTGGATCGCCCCTCGCCGAAGGGTCACATGGTCTGTTGCGGCAAAACGCACACGGCCCCCTCAAGAAACCGCTGTCAGAGGAATCTAGGAATAAGGACCCCCAGGAGGGGAGCCTGTTGTCGAGTTCCACTTCCCCCCAAGTTGGGCTCCTGAAAGAGGGGAGCCAAAGGTTGGGGGCCGTTCTTTCGGGCGCTGGAGATCCCGGCGCTCAGTCTTCTTGCTTCTGGAGCTGCAGCTTCGCCAGGTAGTAGGCGGCCAGAACTCGGATCGATCGATGGGACTCGGAGCTGAGGCGTCCACGTCGTTGTCTCGGCGTCTCCCCGGTGATTCCAGGCAAGCCACGAGGTCACGAGGTTAGGCTTGCCACCCTTCAAAAACCAAGAGGAAAATGGCGAAGGGTGACCTATTGTAGTGCTTTGCCTGCGATCTACGTGCAGTTTCTGGATATTTTCCTGAGATGCCACTGGCTTCGCTTTTTGAAGCAAAGGCCATTGCGATGTCTTTTTTGGTAAAGCAAATCCGCACTCCACCCTTTTCCTCCACCGGCCAGAAACGGGAGGCCGCCTTTGGCTAAGGGAAGCCAAAAGAAAACCACCCATTCGGAGTGATAGAGACAAAGCCAAATCTCTAGATACCCCGAACAGCCGCCACACACTTGCGCGGTTCAGCTGCGTCCAAGGCCTGTTGCACGCCGAGAAGAGATTCGGCTCGCGAAGCTTGGCCCCCGGCAGAGCATGAGGAAGGATGCCACCACCATTATCCGCTGGCCCTTCCTAAGGCGGGAGCAAGGAGCAAGCCCACAGGATGAATTTTCGGAGGAAAGTGGCTATTTCGTGCCAAGGCTTTCTGGGTAACCTGGCCTGACAGGTTTGGATGGAAAAAAGATGAAAGACATGGGCCAAACTTTGAGGGGTGTACCTCTTACCGGAGAACTCCCTTTGGAGGAAATCTTCTTCCAGGACCCCCAGCGCATAAGCTCCATGTTAGCGGGTGGGAGGGTAACATGCAGGCCGTGTGCGCAAATGCTCAGAAGGACCAACTGTCTCACTGCAAGTTCTTCTCAGTCTACAAACGCGCGGGGAAGCCAGGCCGTTCAAACACCTCCAGCACCAAGAACCAGCCCAACAAAAGGCAAATGACGGCCAACTAAGCAGGTGAAAACACATTAAACCACACGCACACACACACACACACACAAAAACAAGAATTGAGAGAGAGCAAAACAAAGCAACGGAAAACTTAAATGAGAACTCAGGTTGGCCAAGCTTCACCGCATGCACCAGCAGCAAACGCAAGTAGCGCCTCACCAGGGAGAAGAGATTGCAGCCGAAGCGCAGGCCGCCTCGCAGCATCGTTTTGGAGCGGAGAGGAACGCGGCCACGGCGAGTGAACGAGAATCGGTGTTTCTTTCAGGATACCCAAATGGTTTGTGGTTGTTTGCTTCGTTTGCTGTTTACAACTGAAACCAAAAAGGAAAGAAACATTGTTTGCGCCATCTTCGGGCTTCAACCCAAAAAAAGGACGGACCAAACCAAATTCCGGACGTTTCAAGGACATATGTGGAGATTGAATTTTTCGGCCTTCCTGGCCATCTCCTTGCACCACCCCGTCGTTGACGATGGAGATGATGAAGCCTGTCTTCTCCCAAGACGCGAGGCGAATCGAGTCGAATGCCATGAGTCAAACGGATTCAAACCAGGTCCTGGGTAAATAAGAACGACCAGAAGAGGTTCTTGGTCCAAGCAAACCACATGGCCGGTGTTCGCTGAAAAACGAGTTTACAGCCAAAGCGCCTCGAATATACCCGTGAGAAACAAGAATAGTTTCTGTTCGCGATCAATTTCCCCCCCCCAAAAAAAAAGAAGAAAGAAAGAACAGAACATGCTCCTTTTCCAAACGATCCGTTTGGCTGAGTTTAAACTCAACACATAAATCTCGAAAAGCCCCAACCTCCCCAACCACTCAGCTCAGCTTGGCTCTGATTGGTGGTTTGGACTGGTGGTTTGGTGGGTGGTACCTTTTACAAGACCTGTGGCTCAAATCCTCCAAACCACCAATCCAAAACCACCAATTGAAGACCCCATTCGCTGATTCCCTCAAATCCCAACCACCCGCCCGTTTTTGGTTTTGTCAGAGACATCAACATGAACCGCTGAGAACTTGGAAAACTTCCATCCTCCCATCCCAACCTCCCATCCCAAGCCCCCGAACCAACCCACCCAACCAACCCCCCCTGGCTCGGGCTCCCATGGCTCCGGGCACTCGGCCGCCAGCACGGTGCAGGCGATGGGCCGGCTCACCGGGCCGAAGGACACCTCACTCGTCAGCCGGGGGCGAGCGCCAAACGATCGAGAAGAAAAGGCTGGACCAAATTCCTTAAGGAGCATAGGAGCCAAGGTTGGGATGTTGGGGCAAGGTTGGTTTGGCTTGGAGTTGACACTTCGGTTGGTTCAAGCAAGCAAGCAAGCAAGCAAGCAAGCAAGCAAGCAAGCAAGCAAGGAAGGGAGGGAGGGAGGAAGGAAGGAAGGAAGGCAGGAAGGGAGGGAGGGAGAAAGGAAGGAAGGCAGGAAGGAAGCAAGGAAGCAAGCAAGCAAGCAAGCAAGCAAGCAAGCAAGCAAGCAAGCAAGCAAGCAAGCAAGCAAGGAAGGGAGGGAGGGAGGGAGAGAGTGAGGGAAGGAAGGAAGGAAGGAAGAAACATAGAAAAAATGAAATACAGAAACACCTAAATAAAATAAACATCATGTGTTAAAAAAAAAAAAAAAAAAAAAAAAAACTTAAACAAAAATGCAAAATAAACAAATGAAACATAAGTATATAACTGAATAAATGAATAAATGAATGAACAAGTAAATAAGTAAATGAATACATAGTTGATGTGTTTATTGAATAATAACAGCCAGACAGACAGACAGACAGACAGACAGACAGACAGACAGACAGACAGACAGACAGACAGACAGACAGACAGACAGACAGACAGACAGACAGACAAACAGACAGACAGAGAGGAAAAAGAAAAGAAGGAAAACACATGTGTTCATATTCAAAAATAGAAAGGACATAAAGAAAGAAAGAAACAAAGAAAGAAAGAAAAACAGAAAAAGGAAAGAAAGAAAAAATAGGACACATTGAAAAAATGAAACAAAACAAATATATTGACAGGAAGAAAAGAAGTGACATGAACGTAGATAAGAGCAAACAACAGGAATCTCGCATTGATGAATGTGTAGATGTCAAAGGTGGAAGATGATCTCACGGGTCTGCAGCCGAAAGCCATGCAATGCCAAGCCACGTAAGAGAAGGAGACCAGAAGGGAGGCGAACCCCATAAGGCCGAAGATGAAATTCACATTGCAGCCTGCGCCAAAGCGAAACGAAATCATCAGACATGCCCCCCCCCCTTGAACGCCTCTAAAAAATTCGGAAGTGCTGCCGTACCGGTCACGAGACATCCCTCACTGCTCGAAACAAGTGGCATAGCTGCGGAATTCGGATGAATGCCCCCTTTGCCAACCACGAAATCCGTGGCTCTCACAAGAGCCAAGGTCAAAATTTACTAGCACACTACTGGGCATGGAACATTTAGTTAGTGAGTGCCCAACTTTGCTGAACATCTTTTGCAACTTCTCCATGTCCCGAACCTCGAATGCACCGTCTGGACACGTTGACGAGCCTCGACAAACAAAAGCAACAAGTTTGGCTAAGCCACCCGGCGACCGCATCTGGCATCGGTTTCTTTCCTGATCTTCACCCATTTCCGGCTGGCTTGGACGGCTTTTCACCGTTTCAGCGGAACACCTGGGTTGTCGTACCGCACCTATCCACGGCAGCTCATAGTCCCGCTGCAGGAGCTCCATGAGGCTGCGAGCGGGCGCCGTGTTGGTCTCCTGACTTTCGGAGAGCGAGCCCGGAGCTGGAGAAACGGAACCCGATCGTCGTTGGTTGCGTTGAATGTTTATTGGGAAAGTATGGCTTCAAATACATTTATTGGGAAAGTGTCGCTTTACATACACGTAGTAACACATTAGAAACACCCTGGTTTTGCAAGCAAAAAAGCAAAAGATCGCTGTTGAGTGCTTGCTGAATCGACAGGGTGGAGCCACTCGACCGTTCAGCCGCTTCCTGTCAAAAGCTTTCAATGCTTCAACGCGTGTCCCCCTCGCGACCCCCAACCCCCTCCCCCCCCCCCCAATTAGCAAAAAGATACAACAACAATTAAAACAAAAGCACGAGACTCCCCAACAAACCAAAAGCCACGCTCCAAAGCTGAGCACGAGACTCAGCCTTCGACCTTCAGATTTCGAGTCGAGCCGCGTTGAGCTTGTTCACCGCGATGGTGGACCACACCACTGCCACGAGCTCGCCTTGGACCGGTCCGAGGCGCACGAGCCGCTCGGTCGTGAGTCCTAGTTGCTATCATATTTTTCCACCAAGCAACCGGGCTAAGCTCCAACCGGGGCAGCGTAGTTGGCTATGTATTTTGTTTTAAGAGTTGCATTTATGTGGGTGTCGGCCAAAACAAATGGACGTAACGTAGGGCTTTCCATGAATGCGTTCATGGGCACAGGGTTCTGTTTGGGTGACTTCCAGCCTAGCCATTCTGAACCGATTCAAAGGGCCGGCTTTTGGAAAAGCATGCTTGAAACGAAGGAATCAACCCAGAAATCACCTTAAGGTTTCTGCAGCCCCGGAAGGTCCTTACTCTTCTGCGCTTGAGGTTTGGCATTCGGAGGGGTCTAACAGACCTCATGTTTGGGGCTTGCCTTGAACATGGTGTTCCTTCCCTCCAAACCAATCACAAACTCAATCCCCTCAAAAAGAGACAAACACCGCCAGCACCTGAAATAAGTCTTCCCCCAAGTAAAGCGAACATATGGTGAGCTCGTTTACCCCTGGATCAAGCAGACCAGACAGCGAGCGCACGCTTCAGCAGCCAGGTCGCAGCAAATGGCAATGCTTGCCAGGAGGTAGTGCAGCCGCTTGCCGCGCTTCTGGGCCGGGCGCATCGATTCAACTGGGATGCCACAGAGGCAACCTGACACAACCACAACCCAGCGTAACGTAGCAGCACCAAAAGAACCAAACAAGGGGGGGAGAAAAACAAGAAGAAGAAAAAAAGAAGAAAAACAAGTCAACAAAATTGGAAAGCTCTCATACTGAAAGCTCTAGGAACAAGCCTTGCGCTTTTGATTCGCTTTTTGGAGCCCTATGGCCATCTTCCTCACATCCCTTTGGGTGGAACCCTGTGGCCGGAAGACGGGCTCCCGAATCTCTGTGTGTGTCTTTTGTTGAGAACATCCTTTTTCAGCCTTCGGTAGTGAAATCCATTCAAGCCGGCCAAACCCCTTCAACTGGCAATGCGCTCTGGGTTTCGGGTCCCGAATCGAACCCGAGGTTTCATAAACAACTTGCTGGTTCGATGAACGAGAATTGGAACGAAGGCAAAGCGAGACCCAGCGGGTGATTTCCGTTTTGGGGAGCAGCCTGGGTTCATTCGCGCCCGGACTCGGTCCGTTCTTCCGTAGAAAGAGACCCAGGAAACCCCGAGGACCGCGCCAGCCAGGCCGGGTCGTCCTTCTCGATCCTGGGCGCGGCGAAGAAGCCCAGGGGCACGATGGCCCCCGCCAGAAGCACCGCGGGGCCCCGCATGTTGTCGAACCTCAGGGAGCCCCCGGACCTTCAGGAGGGGGGGTGGGGTCCCCAATTCCATTTATCTAGTCTTCCCCATAGATGGGAAAATGGAACAAATGGAGATCTCCAGGGGTCACCCCCCTCCCCAGTTCCATTTTTGGGGGGGTGGGGATCAGAGGCTGGCGCCAGGGGCCAGGTCAGGGGGTCAAACGCGAGACGGGAGGCTCGCGGCTTGGGATTCTCGGGCGGGGTCAGAGGGAGAACGGGAAGGGAGGGAGGTGATGGCATTGGCTTGAGCCGAATTGCAAGCACGAGTCTTGCAACAGCGGGGCAAAGACGGTTTGACCACGGTATCAACCCGAAACTCTTGGGGTGAAGAGAGCAGTTGCAGCTCTGTGTTTCGCTTGGAACCATGCTCTCCTGGCTGATGCATCCTAGGCAAAGAGCATCTACTCCTTTCCAGCTTCGTCTATGCCAATTCTCTGCGCCCATGTATGTCAAGACCTCTAGCCAGGTATTCGTACATGACTCGTCACAAAACTAGCATACTGATCAAATGCAAAACAAGCACCTTGAAAGACAAACAAAGGAAACACCACATATCAAAGCAGCAGAGAAAAAAAAGGAGAAGAAAAAACAAAGAAAAAACACAGCACATTACACGCAGAAAGTCCCAAGCCTTGAAGGCAGGTTTCTTTCTGAATGTGCCGCTACACTAAGGGCGAATCCTTTCTTTGACTTGTGAGGATTTGAAACTCGCACCTCGAAGCCTGAGGGAACACGCAGGCACGGACAAGGCTAAAGACAAAAGTGTGCCCGTCAATTGACCATGAAAACTGCCCTTTCGGCTCAGCCTGGGCCACCGCACATTCGTGCCGCTTGCATGCTGTAGTCGGCCATGCGCGGCACATTCGTGCCTGCGAGTCGATCAATTCGCCCTTGGTCAGGTCTCCCTTGGGCCCCGTTGCATTTTGGTCTCTCAGTCATGGGCGAAGCAACAAAAGGGGAGCTTGGCGAACGTGGTTGGCCTTGTTGCACACCACTCACTGGCTGTGATTTTTTGGAGCACCCTATCGGCCCGCCTCCTCCGATCAGTCCGCCGCGGTCATTGCCACCTGGGCTTTGCCAATGGACCGCCGTTTTTGCGGAGAGAAAGAACGATCCCCAGCGATGTTCCGATTTCAGCACTCCAAGAAAGGCTTTGCTTGCACCACATCTTGCTTGCTTGAGATTGCAATTCGATTGATGCCAGCCTGAAGATGAAGGTCCAGTGTGAATTCGACCCAGCTGACCCCGAACCTGGGCCCTACAAGTAAACCGAACATGGACGTCTCCCACTACACATAACCCAACATCTGGCCCGGTTTAGACCTACTCCCGGTGTATCTTCACTCGCACGGAAAAAGCAATGATTTCCAGTCCGCCTGAGCCGTCGCGTTTCCTGATTTCCCTTCCATGATTTCGCCATCTGCATGCATATGCCAAGGCCTGGCCAACAATGGCTGAAGCGAGCTCGAAGAATTTATGCAAACGGAAGGCACAAAGCGTTTTCCCCCTGGTGTTCGTTCAACGCTTCTGATTTCAAACTCAGACAGCCAACCGAAGAACCGAAGGACCGAAAGCCCCGAAGGGCCTCTGAAGCCGCAGAATGCCGATCTCGGCGAAGCCTCCCATGCCTAGGGCGACGCCGATGCGGGGAGCGAGCCATGGGACGGGGCAGCCAATTCTTCCGAAGCGCTCCTGGGTCCTGAAGCCACGTCCACTTCCATTGGAAAGAGGGCTGATGTTAGCTCAATCACGACATATCACGACGGTCATCAAGTTGCATGCCGCAAAGGCTGACAGGGCTGCTTCTCTTTGCACGCGGCTTCTGCGGTAAAAAGAAAAAGGAGCTCTGCAGTTTGCGGCGAGTGGATATAGTTTGGAACCCCCCTGTTGGTGGGAAGCCGAAAGGAAAACACGACCCTTGGAGCTCCATGAGTGCCAAGTGCCGTGCGCAGCTCAGGAAGGCCCGGCCTGCGATTTGTTTGAATGGAATGAACCTTTTTGGGATTCCCGAAAAAAGGAAACCACCAGTTGGATGGTTTTCTTGGGGTCAGACTCCATTTCTCAGGGCCCTGCATCTCTCGCACCAGCAAGAATGGACCCTTTCTGGTTGTCTCTTCGTTTCCTTGCGAGGGGCGCGGTTCTGGGCACCAGAAGCCTGTGAGCGGATTGCTTCACGACGTGTTACGGCCATCGAGCCCCGCTTCCGAGTCAACATTGGTGCTTCCCGCCTGACGCGGCCAAAGCAAGCAGGATGCCTCACGCACGGGTGCCGGGCATCTTGAGAGGCGCAACTTTTGGTCCTGGTCACAACGCGCCCCTTTCTTTGCCATTGACCGTATGAACTTCACGTGGGAAACACAAAAAACGTATCAGCCGTTGCTGGTACCAATTTGCGTGGACGGCACCTGATCCATCCTGTTTGATGCAGGACCGCCATTTTTGAAATGCCCAAGAACGGCCTTTGCTCCATTTTGTAGGTACAAATATTCATGGGTAAGTGGTAAACCTCTGAAATGGCCGTTTACCATTTCGGGACACTCGCCTTTTGAAACTTGACTCAGATGGGAATGCGCGGCTCTTCAAGTGCATGACCGGCCAAGCAAACACTACCACCAAATACAATCAAGCTTGCGTGATGGGCATGGCCGAACCCAAGCACAAGGCGCGGTTAGATACACGTTCCCAAACTCTGAGCAGTTGCAGGGGCCGCGAAATCATGTTTTCTTCGTGTGTTCATATCCCTTCTTGAAACACCTGTGTTTGTGTGTGTGTGTGTGTGTGTGTTTTCCCTTGGTGTGTGTGTGTGTGCTTTGTTGGGCTCCATTGACACTGCAGAGTGTCTCTACCCATTTGCTTCGCCTGATCGCCCCTGTTTTGTGCACCAATGGATAGCCATATTGATGTCCAACTGCCCCAGACTCGTTCTCTAATTGAATACCCTCCCACCCGTTTAGATGGACCCCATCAAAAGTCAAGTGCTGCAGTAGCGCGAGGGAAAGGCATGGTCAGTCGGGCCAGGAAAGAATCATGTCGGTAGGTACGTGAGGCCTTGTCCATGTAGACCTGGAACGCAAGAGCCATGTTTGTTGACCTCCCAGTCCAACGAGTGTGCCAACCAAGCTGTCGCTGGGCGTCCACGCATGCTTGTGGAAGAAGCCGCTTTTGGCGCATGGCCATATTGAAACAGCTCAACTGCCGTGCCCGAAAAGGGCCAACTGCTGTTCACATGTGCAAATGAGCAGTGCTTGTGATGCGACACGCATCGAATGACTGGAGCAGGGCACTGGGCAAGTGGTGTCGAATACCATGTGCCGAACCCACATCACTTTGACGGAACTGCTGGGACTGCCAAAGAGGCTGCCACCTGACTTTTCTAATGGAGTTCACTATCGAACAGCCTTGTCGTTGTAGTTTGGCAGTGTGCTGCCCGAAAACCCCGTATCAGAGGAATATCCCCGAAATATGCGGACCGAGAAACTCAGCTGATCTGTTGCTGCCAATCCCGTCTGGCTATGAGTTCAGCTTCTTAATGGTTGGCAGCCATCCTTAGACTTCAATTCCAACATCTCAAACCAAACTGGCTCATGCGCTTGGGGCTGAGTGCTTCCCGTGCCACTACGCAATGTTTTTTGGCTCCCACATGGAGCGATTCACTAGTGCAACTATTTTTTTGCGAGCGAAATGGGAGTTTGGAAAACCCCAAAGAAGGAATATGTCCAAAAGTCTAAGCCCTTAAATGCGTTGGACAAGTTGTGCAATGGATACCAAATGAGGCCCACAAACCCAGAGCACCAAAAGGCAACCAACAAGAACAACAAAAACAAAAAACACAAAGAGCTAAAAACAAGGCTCCCAAGGGGTAGAGACCCAAAAAAAAACGAGCGCCGCCCCCCTGGCAAACACAGGCCCTGTCGCTTTTGCACCGCTCATCGGGCTTTCGCAGCCGGCGCCGCCTGGGCGCGCCTTTCTGGGAGAAGCTTCCTTCGGGAGAAGGCCCACAGAAGGAGAAATTCCTAAGGGACGTGGTGTTCCATGGGAAGGTCCAAAAGTGAGACATGGCTGTCTTCAAACGAAAGAGAAGCGGGTGTCTTTTCCGAGGGAAGACCCTGTCCCAGGCGTTCAAAAGAGAAGCGTTTGGAATACATTGTGCCCTGGGATGCATGACAGTGCCTTCAAATGTTGGAAGTCCGTTGCACCAGGCCTTTGTCATTTGTATGCGGATTGCAACAGACAAAAACTCGACCAGCCGTTTCTAAATTTGGCAAGACCAGCGGTATGAGATGTTGAATTCATAAACACAGCTTGCGGGGCTGATGGTGGTTTTGTCAGGCGCACTCTGGTTCATGCAGCTCGTGCTTACACACGAGCTGTTCAGCGCTCGCTGCGCTCCAGTAGCACACAAACATGGCATTCCAATGCCCGGCACTCGCCCACGGAGTCCAAATTCTCATGAGTCCGCGCCTGGCCACGGTCACTCATCTCCGGTCAACAAGAAAGACTCTCGGCCGACTGGAGGCATCTGCTGCGATTTTTCTGTTCCCCAGCAGTTGTCCTCCCCTTTCTTCCGAGAACGGGCACCCCGAGTTTGGTCGCCATTTCAAGCAAACCAACAGACCAACCTGGGGTGCATTTAAGAATGTCAAATAATATTGTGTGTTTTTTGTGTGTGTGTTCTCAATGTTTGTTTGTCGCTGGCATTTTCGAGAAACAACGGCAATTGGCTCGGCAAGGCTTCTCACGGCTTGTCACTGAACAACTTCATTGCAAGGTTTACCCTTTACCTTTTATGGATGTAAACTTGGTTCAACCCTAAATAACTTAGCAATGTCAAACCCATGAAACACGTGTAAGTTTGGGGAAACCCTACGTTGCTTGATCCCTCGTTGCCAACGGTGGGTTTACCCTAGCGACCGACATGCAATAGTGACTATGTTACTGTACGAGGCCCTGGGGCTTTCATGATTGTCTCGACCACGCGATGAGGCCACTTGACGCTGTCGTTCAACGTCAGCCCAACAAGCTGAGCGCCAGCAAGCCTTCGTTTTTGGGGCACCGGTTTGTTCGGCCCGTTCGTGGCGCGATCTTCAGGGGCTACTGACAAGTAGTACTTACTTGGGAGGTTATATAATATAACTTGCCCTGGGTGTCTTGTTGCAGGTGAAACGTAACTTTGGCTTTTTGATGACCACGCGCTAGGATGAAGAGGCTGAGTTGGACTGAGACTGGGTCTCTGTGTGTCTCTGTGTGTGCAAGACTACGAGAGACCGTGTAGTAAGTACTCCTGAGGGCAGCGATGAATCCCGAGCACATCACCACCCTGGGCACAAGTGGCATCATCATTTCATACAAGCATCCAAGCTGCAAACATCAAAAAAGAGTGGCTTCCCCGAACATATCGTGTTTCATTTGCAGGCAGGCAAAAGCTGCCACAAAGAGGACTTGCTGGGTGAATCCGGCGTTTCAAGTCCGCTCCTTCGCCGCCTTGGCGGGTCCTGAGTGAGAAGGAGGCCTTTTTGGAAACTCCGTAGCAGGTGAATCAAGCCCGGGCTCGGGAGAAAACTGCCATCGGGCAGCCACGGTCAACCATGCTAAGCTACTTTTTCAGTGTGAACCAATTTGCAAACTGCCAAGGAAAGGTGCAACAAGTTCAAGACCGTGGCTGCAAGCGCTGTGGCCTTTGTCATGGAAGGGGAGCAATGCAACGACCGTGAACTTTGCCCAAAGCTAGTTCTCGCATTAAATGCTGCCGCCTAGTTTTGCTGAGTTGTTTTCCTCACAGAAACTGGCAAGGAACTGGCCCATATTCTTCTGAAGGTGACGGCTGAGGATGCCATCAACTGTTTCTTGGAGGTTGACAAATCGAAAGCGATGTTTAGGGGGAGCTGGTAGGCCTCAGGGGTGTAGTAGGCACCAGTAGGGGTAGCTCTGCGGGCACGCGGGAGTCAAAACAGAACACTCCGAGTAGCCTCAGAACTCATTGGTTCCAAAAAAAATAAATTAATTGCGGGTTTTGTAAAACTAAAAGTCTCGCATTTAAGCTAATCACCGTTTTAGCGGTAGGGCCGCGGGGGCCCTACCCTTAGGACAGTCGGTAGCGCTACCGACTGTCGTAAGCAACCCCCCCCGGTTCAACGATATCGTTTTTTTGGGTGTTTTAAGCGCGCCAGGGCTAACCCAAGATGCATTTAACAATGTCACGGGGTTGCTTACGACAGTCGGTAGCGCTACCGACTGTCCTAAGGGTAGGGCCCCCGCGGCCCTACCGCTAAAACAGTGATTAGCTTAAATGCGAGACTTTTAGATTTGCAAAACCCGCAATTCATTTATTTTTGGTAAACACAGCTGGTTCATTGCAGCGGGTGCCTTAAGTCTTTGCCCATTGCGCCGGCAAGAAGGATCAAGAACGCTTTCGATGCGTCAACCAAGAAAAGTTGATGGCATCCTCAGCCGTCATCTTCAGAAGAATATGGGCCAGTTCCCTGCACAGTGCCAGTTTCTGTGAGGAAAACAACTCAGCAAAACTAGGCGGCAGCATTTAATGCGAGAACTAGCTTTAGGTAAGGTTCACGGTCGTTGTGTCGCTCCTCTTCCGTGACAAAGGCCACACAGCGTTCGC